ATAAAAGCTTTGTTTGGCTTGCTTCATGTGAACATACAAAACAAAGAAACAAGCAAACAAACTAACTAACATATGACTGAGAGATAGGACACTCACACACGCAAAGCATAGCTCATTCGCCCCGTAATCCCGTACCGTCTTAATGCACGTTTAAAAATTTCACCAAATTAACATTTGCGATTACATCGGAAGTTTAATTATGGTTCTCAAGAGGAAATTCTTTAATGTGAAATTAGAAAATAAAATAGGGGTTAATTTAATAGAGAGAATGAAGCAGCTACCAACTTAATGACTTATTCAAATAGTAATCCAATATATTCCAATTATTGAACGAGTCTTGCACTATTTAGGAGTCTGGTGTTCGTATCATCAAAATATTGGGAATGCTGCAGAGATTACAGTCTGAACTTTAACTCGACTCAATGAATTTGGGCATTGGCATTGTTTTCCTTCTTGATTTCAACCAAATTTAAGATAAATCTATTTCCTTTGGTTTAAAGCATCTACACTCTCGTATGTATCTCTCAATACCCAAGAATGTTTCCTTCCGTCTCCTTGACATTCTTCAGCATTTAAGTCGGCAGATACTTACTTACTTACTTACATACATATACATATATTCTTTGTGTACATATGTATATGCACGTATGATGTTCAAATTGCGATATTAAAGCAAATGTCTGACCATTAAAAATCGCGTGTGTTTCCTTAGATATAAATATGTACATATGTACATGTGTGTGTGTGTGTATGCCTGAGTGCGCTCGTGTTCGTATAATTTATTATGAGATGCTTCATCTTAAGGAGGCCGCAAAAGTGGATAGCAAAAAGAAAAGGGCAGAAGCTGGCTGGCACCATAAATTTGGTTTAATAACATATTCAAATTTAGATAATATCTGTCTCTAGTGCAATATTTATGCCTGCATCCCTTTTGTCTCTCTCTCTCTCTATTTTTTTTTCTAGTATAATTTTATGGTATGGTATGTACGTGTGTGTGTGTGCATGGGCTTGTGAGCGAGGATTGTGCAATGTCAGACGCTTGAAAACTCAACTGAGTTATGCGAACACCTAAATTATACAGGCGACAGACCAAGCATAACACACACATTCACCAAAGAATTCCACTCGTTCCCACATTAACTTGTGAGCTCGAAAGCAGGCAACGAAGTCTCGAATTTCACCTTATCATCTGCGCTTATCTTTATGCCTGTGCCAGCTCCCAATTTCGGATCCATAGCTCCGACTGGAACTTCTGTGCTTTTACGTAACAATCTTCATGAATATGTATTCCTTGGGGACTTGCTCTGTCTGTGGCTGTGTGTGTGTGTACTCATGTTATTAATGAAGCATTTGCTAGGGCTCCACTGACTTAGCGGATTTTTTTCATTGGAACTGGAAATGGTTGCGGGGAAGCAATAGGGATTTTGTGGGGATTTACATGAATTGAGTGACGACTGCGTTCGTTTTCAGCTTGTTCTTGCTGTTGGCACTGCTGCTTCTCTTGCTCCCTTTGCTCCACCTTCTGATGTGACTTCCGCAGCCAGCGTATGCATGACCACGCCCACAGGCCAGCCAGCCAGCCATTCAGCCAGCTAGCGATTTGCCTTTCTATCTCCAATTGCCGATTTCAGTGGACGGAACTGAGCGAGAAATGGAAATCTATTGAACAGCATTCATATGCTGCGTATTATTAATATCGATTAGGGGGCGGACCTACTACGCCTTCTCTGCTTGACGGGCGCATCTTGAAGTGGTTTTTTTCTTCTATCGGTTCTGTATGTGTGTGTGTGTACATGCGGTTGCCATAGCCATCGCCATCGCCAGCACCGCATCCGAGATTGAGATACAGCCAGGGACAGCCATGCAGTTCGCTTGTTCCCTTCGACACTGATAAAAACACCGAGAGCACATCTTAAGCCATTTTATTTATTATTTTCCCTTCCCACGATAAAATAGATTCGGCAGCATTGTTGCCAGCCTAGAAAAAAGTATACATACATACATACCTACATGTGTGTGGCAGACGGGGCCGGGCAACATCTGTCTGCAACTAAACGGCATTTCAGCAATAATCAGAAGCCTTTTGTTGTTGTCATTAGATGGCGGCAGTCTGCCCGAACCCAAAACTCAACCCGAATTGAACCCATAATACATATGTGCATATGTATATGCATGCATATGCGTGTGACAGTGTGGGACACGTAAATCGATTTGCTCTTGGCTGAAAGCATATTTTTCTGGTTCATATTGGTCCCTCGACAGCTGATCCTTGCCTGCCCACGATTGACCATCGACCAGTCCAGACAATTTCTCAAAAATAACACACTTTTCATGTACATATGTATACGAATGCCAAGACAATTCGTAAAAAAATCATTTAGGAAATGAAATGAAATGAAATGAAAGACGTGACTTCGTTGCATTCGCAGCTTCTTTTCTTGGGATGTTCATAAAAGAAACAAAATTGATTTTTCTATAAAAAATAGAAGAAACGAAAAATGGAGCATAACCAGAAAGTGGCACATCCGCACATACAACCACACAGACACACACACAGAGAAAGATAAACGCTTCCAGGCAGCCGCAAAAGCTGAAGAAGAAGTAGGCCACACTAGCACACCCCCACCACAACAGCCACCAGCACCCTTCTAAGCCCACAAACTCTTATTTGGGATGCACTTGAAGGAGATTCTGTTAGTCTCAGTTAGGGAGCCATCCATAAACAGAGCATAGCTAGTTTTGGGATAGAAATAAGAGATTTTGGGCAAGGATCGGCAGAGATTTAAGGCAAGTTTCAGTGGCAACGATGTTACTTTAATGTCTCTCCCGCTAGTCACTCGATCATCTTTCGTAACCTTTAAAGGCAAACAAGAATGGTGGCACGCTGCCGGCCTCTGCTTCTCCCCCAAAGTGACCTTGCCAGGGTTTTCAACCTCGTTGCAACTTAGCCCACTTTTGCTGGCTGTCTAGGCTCTGGCTCTTGCTGGCCACTTACGAGCGGCTCTCCTTATTGGCAGCGATTTGGTTGCATTATGGCCAGATGATTGAGTGCCCTGAGAGTGCTTCTAATGCAAAGCGTGCTGAAGCATGACAATCGACAATTGCAATGGCAGCCACAGCCACAGCCACGTGTGCAAGTTGCACAATTGTTGCAGAGCCTGCAGACGCAGGTTTAAGATCTTTAGTCAAGTGGCGGCATTGGCGTTTTGATATTATAGCCTGCCCTCAATATCCATCACCTGCCCCTGCTGCTCTCTGCAGTCTCTCAATTTGTTTGCATGGAAATTTTGAGCTAACTTTGAATCGAGTGCCGTGTCCGTGTGAGTGATATCCGGCAAATCCTCTAAAAGCAGCAGCAGCAGCAACAGCGAGCAGCTGTAACTGGGAACTGAAACAAAGTTTGAAGTAAGCGACAATGGGGATGCATCAGCGAAAGGTAAGCTGATTATGTAACACACCCACCCACCCACACACACACACCCGCTAAGAGAGAGAGGAAAATGGGAGGGTGTGCTTGTGCTTGTGCAGAGCAGATAGCATTAACAAACGGCACACACTGAAGCCATTTTGTTTTCAAACTTTTCAACAGCTCTTTTTGAACTGTTTTTTTATTAGTGATTTCCGTGGAAACAAGCTGCTGGCGCCACCTGATATTGCAAATCCAAAAATCGTACCTTAAATATGTGAAGGAATTTATTAAGAATGCAGTTGCAGCTGCAACTCTCCCAAAGAGCCTTACGCTAGCCGATGGCCACGCTACACTGTAACTGGGTCAATTTTGATATTAGCTTTAATTGTAGATAGCAAATGATAGAGTATTTTTTTTTCATGGCTAAGAAATTAATGCAAGGGGCAAAGGGGCAAAGCCTGAGCATGGAATGGAACTGAACTTTGATGGCACATGGCGGGCATGTGGGAGCCAACACTATTGCTCGATGTGATGTGGATGTCGACTGACTAGGAGCCCTGTTTGCGCACCATGACATTTGAATAATGCACGGACCGGAGCTGGAGCAGGAGCACATGCTACAGGGGCAGGGGCAGTAGACCACCAATTTCATTATCGATTGATTCGATGTGCACTAAGAATTGACAGCTGATGGAAAATTTTCTCGAACCAGAAAAGGAGGAAAGCAAAACAATGGGGGAGATTTGATGGTGCCACAAGTCAAAGGGAAATTCAATAAAAATATTTGAGAAAAGCCAACAAAACACGTTCTTTAATGAGAGAGTGATTAAGAGAGCATTAAGGACCAGTGGGATATCGCCTTCCATTACGAATCAATGGCTGGGCTTTTGGGGCCTTTTGTTTTGTATTTACTCGATGGCTAAATGTAATTGTCAGTATGCCACGCACTATCTACACCACCCATCCCATTTGGAGTCAAGCCTCCCACACCCCCCTCCCAGACCGCTCTGTCAACAGCTCGACATATCAATCATACGCAATGTGCTTCGTGTTTTGTGCGTGCCCCAATGCCTGCGCTGTGGTGCAGAGGGTACAGCGGGTACAGTGGGTACCGAGGGGTGGCGTGTGCTGTCGAGAATGGGTACACACATGCGTCGCCTGGTCTTATAAATAATTTAGACCGCATATTACTCCCAAATAACAACAAACCAGCAACTCACACTGCTTTTCACACATTCCCGATTCCCCTCACACACACAAACACACACACGCACGATACAAAAAACCTGTCATTAGTGAATTATTTAAATTACATTGACGCCATAAAAGCAAATATCGGAAGGGACATGCACACGTACATGGCTATAATGGAAAATAAGTGTCTCTTCCCCACAATTTATCTTGCCAAGCAACGCAGGAAAAACTTTGTTCTAACTTAGAATCAAAGCGGAACCATTCAGTGGTCACACTGTACTGTGTGTTCGTTTGGCCTGTATTCAGTATTTCCATTTATTCCAAGGGAAAATCAGCATGGCTCTTCTCTAGCTACTGAAAGACAGAGGACAGAGTGGATCCGCAGAGTTGCACTCACCTGAGATTCTCAATGCGCGGCCTTCGGCACTGCGGACGATTGCGTCGATGGCTGCGATCCTTTTTGCAGCGGCAGTCGCAGTGCATAATGCACAGGGCGATGGATGAGATGACCGTTATCACAAAGGGCACCGCAAAAAAATTTATGATCACGGCCACCTGATCGTCGTGACTGTAGGACGTGAGCACTACGGTCTTGTTCTTCCGCGAGTAGTAGCACGGATAGATGGCGCCGTCGGCGCCGTAGTAGTCGTTGAAGGTCTTGCACGTGACCGTGGGCGGGTAGCCGCAGCCCTTGATGTTCACTAGCAGCGTGGCCTCCCCGGACTGCTCCCAGTCGGCCGTGTAGTTGCTAAAGTCGGTCATATTCTCCGGTATGGTTATGTTCTGCTCTATGAACGTCACGTAGATATGCACGCAGCGGTATAGGTCAGAGGTGCAGCCCTCGCGGCAGGAGCTCCAGGAGCAGTTGAAGATGCCAACCAGATCCTCGCGGCGCGTGGTCGTGCACAGCGTGGGATTCTCGATGAAGTCGTGGCTCAGCGTGGAGATGGCTGGGTCCACGTAGAGCGGCACCAGGAAGAGCAGCGAGGCACCGGCGGTCACCGAGAAGAAGGCCAGAGTCGAGGTGCCGTAGAAACGCGCACGTTCCCGCCACGAGCGAAAGCGCCGATTGCCATTTTTCTTTTTTGGAGCCAGTTCTCGGATTTTACGTAACCGTAGCTCTTGTTGTTGCTGCTCGAGTAGTAATTCCGAACTGCCACTCCTCATATTATTGTCCGTGCACACAGGGCGCTTATGTTGCTGATTGTTGCTGCTGCTGCTATCGTCCTTGGCGTCGGCGTTGGCGTTTGCGTCGCAGCAGCAGCTGCAACGGCATCAACGAGTGCGTCGTGCTTCTGCTTCTGCTTCGGATGGTCCTGGTTCTGGTTCTCTGGGTCTCTGGGTCTCTGGGTCCTCTGGTTCCTCGCGTTGCACTTGCACAGTGTATATGTGGGTGTTGTGTTGCTTGTGCGACAGAGAGGGGCAGATTGCAGCCGGCGTTGACAGTGGCAGCGACAGCGACAGCGGCAGCGTCGTCCTCTGCCTACCTACCGCAACATAGAGAGAAGCAGCGCAGTACGGATACGGATATTGAGGTTATGTACACACGCTTCGGCGCAGAGAGCCAGGCGACATAGAGAGGGTTAAATTGCGAGAGAGATGACAGGCTGGCTGGCTAGCTAGTTAGTTGGCTAGGTAAGGGCGAAACAGCTGTTTCACAGGCACAAAAAAGTGAGAGAGAGAGGCGCCACTCTGGCGTTCATTGGTTTAAGATTTAAATTATTATTCACTCCGCTGCCTGGCTGTTTCCCCTCACATCATTTCTGTCATTTAATGGCCTGCCATTTGGATCACTGAACAAAATAAATCGACAATACAATGTTAGCAACAAAATCACACGGCTGGCTTCGTTATCTTTTCGTGGGTGGGCGGCTCGGCTCTCCCAACAGCTGTTGATGTAGGTTAGTTAAAGAGCGAGAGCGAACGTGAGCGTGATTGGAGAGAGCGAGCGCGTGTTGAAAATCGAGAGAGCATCGCTGCCGACGCCACCGTCAAAGCTGGCGTCAAATCTGGCGTCAGAGCTGGCGTCGAAGCTGGCGTAGGCTGCCGCACACCAGTGACTGTGTAACCTTTTTGCTTGTGTGTTGTGGGTGGAATTATTTATGCTACACATTTTACTTTTATTATTATTATTGTTAAATGCTTATTATTTCTCACTTTATTTGCACACAATACGTATGTGTATATCCCTAAATTATAACAGATCTCGAGCTGTTCGAATTCTGATCTAACACACTCCCCCTAGATAAAACTTTTGCTCCTGCCTTTGATGACATCCGTTCACCTTGATGGTCTATTCGGTGTTGTTGGCACTTCGCGTGACTCTGGACGTGGGTCAATTTGGACATTAGCAGTAGACCCACAGCCCTCTTCCTTTGTTTTTTTCCCATTTTATGGCCGGTGGTGGTCCGTTTCATTTAATTTCATTCGCTTTCGCTTTTGCCTTTGCCTTTGTCCTGGCACGCATTTCACAATTTTCATCAGAGAAACAAACACAGACACACTGGCTTAACTGTTATTGTCCAACTGGCCCAACTGTTATAGTTGGTATGATTTCATTCTCATAAGCTGTATCTACGCGTATCGTATGTGGGGCTGGCCTGGCTGGCATGGCTGGCCCACGCGGTGTATGAGTAATGCACAGATCAAACATACGTATGTACGAACGTATCCCTTGCTCGAGTAAGTGTGACTTTTAAATGATACAAACGGTAGCAGTCCCTTCCACCCACAATATATTCATTAGTTGGAAAACACAATAGCTCTGCCACCTCCAACATTCAGGAGTAATCAGTAAGCAAAGGCTGTGACTGCATACTAGAGAGATGTATCGGCAAACTTCTGCTGTAAAAACAAAATCTCAAGTAGAACCCAGACAATCAGCCCACGCCACGCCTTTTGGCTTGCGACGGACAGGACGGACAGGTCCCGGTTCGGAGAAACAGAATAACAAAGAGAGATGGAAAGCTAAAACGCAGAATGAAAATGAAAATAGAAATGGAAATAGAAATAAAACATTCAGCTCGAGAGTCGAACTAACTTTTGAGAGCGCTGAAATGGCAGCTGGTGCCGTGCAGCCCACGCAGTTTGCTGATTTTGTTGCTAACGTTGTTTCTGCCGCATGGATGGGGGGCACTTTCACTTGGTTCTATTTGTTTTCTATCTTCACTTTTTAGAGTAGAGAATACTTGTGGGACTTTTGTATTTTTTTTTCACAATGCTACGCCGATTACGGCACGATATTTGCCACAGAATTAGAAAATGCCCACATTGCCATTGGCTTTGGCGCTGGCTTTTCCGCACGCACACGCACACACACACACACGCCCACAATCACACACAGAGACAGGCAGACAGAATCGACACGAGAAGCGCGCGCGCTTGGCCCTGACGTGCCTCTCGGAGTGTCCAAAACTAATGCCAGCAACGGCAGAACCACCACAACAGTCGAGTTTAGTCAACGGCGCGACGGCAGCGACAAACGACGCCAACGTTTTGGGGAGCTGCGCAGCCAGGCCAGCACCCCCTTATGTCCCTGAACATGGTCGAATTATACATAGGGTATGGCCAACTCAGCGCCCGGAAGCCCTCTCTTTCTCCTTTTCTTTATTTTTTGTTTGATAAACATGAAAGTATGCTACACATTGTACAAATTAATTTACACTCAAATATAACATTTGTGGAAAGTATTTTAGTTTGGAATTTGTTTGTATTCCGTATTTACCATCTGCCAAAAATGCGATACATATTTTTTTAAAATTTAACTTCACGTTCTTTTTTAGAGGGAAACATATATATCCAAAATCATTGAAGCCACTGTTTTAGTAGGTGTAGCAAACAAGCATTACTTAGCGTAATATAAAAATGTGTTCATTACCACAAAAATTCGTGCTTTTGACATGCTTTGGAGAATTGTATTGAGTAATGTTTCGGGCGAATGAAAGTGGCTATAAATCCATCAACAAATCAACTCATTTTGTGTTCCCCTTGGGCCATTGCACTGAGCGTAATTTAACGTAATCGAACCCTTGAATTTGCTCGCTTAGCTTCATGCTCTCTACTCGTATTACTCGTATTTATCTCAGCTCGCTCTTGTTATCTGTTTGCTGTTTAATAGAGCGTCGCTAAGGCCGCCTGTAGCTGCGCCTGCGCTGTTAGTCTATAAGGTTTTGAAAACATAATTCGTAAAATTCTTGAAATATAATTTTCATTCAGTTTTTTGATTGGTGTTATTCTTTTATGTACAACTTAAATTTGGCTGTTATTTTGTGAAAGTTTTAAATGTGCAATGCTAGTAAACTGGAATTAAATCAAGTATTTTCACCTTAAGATACTCTGAATCAGAGGTCATTGGTAATGTTTTCGAACAAGCGACGACTCCACCAGGATTCCAGATCAAAGGGCTTAAAGTCTGCCAACTCTGGGCTTTTGGGCTCTATCCAAACTGTAGCCAATGAGGAGGCGAACATGCTTGCTTCAGGACTAATTGCATTGTTGTTAGTGACAGTGTTCCATGAGTCACTTATAAAGTTTATGATATCCTCGTTCTGCGGCGATGTCACCCCAATATCGTTCTGCTTGGCTGATGCAATCCGTTTTGTAAGACGCCGTTGAAAGACCGGACGCGGGATACTGTTGTGCTCCGTGGGCGTGCTAAGATCGATGCTCCCGCTCTTCTTGCTGCTCGCCGTGTTGCCGTTGAATTTTTCAATGTTCTGCCCCAGACCGACACGCGTTTTAGCCACGATTTTGTTGGCTCCCTTATTGATTTTGTACATGGTGTTGGTTTCAACACGTTACGATCGGCTTTGCTTCTGAATTAATTTTTGTTGTTAGCTGAGATATGTTTTTCTGTCACAATATGTCATTAAACAAAATAGTGAAGTAGTTAAAATGGTGAACCAAGTTTAAGGATAGTTCCACGGACCGAACTATGACCTCTCCCAATTTAAAAGAATTGTTTCAATTGGGTGTGGCCTTTCAAAAGATTAACCAGTACGTGTAACGTATATTTATCGCTTCTTTGGAATCAGCTCATAATTAAATACATTTATTGGGCGATGAGTTGATAAAAACGCATGTCCCTTCTGCAGTGCAGATTCACGTGGTGGACACGTTGTCTGCATTGGTCAGGACGGTACAGAAGCTACAATTTTTAATGGGGTCAACAACGTTGCTGACGGAAAGAATAAATTAGATTAGCGAATTATATAATGAAATTTACTTTTGTAGCTCAAATCTAGTGTAGTGTAGATGACGGTGCCGGCAGGGGTGCCCATCTAGATTTCTTAATTTTATGTTTTTACGTCGCAGTTTAATTTAGGTAAATGTTCGATATATGGACTCGAGGTGATGGACTGCGACTATCAATCATTTTTGATTGTTCAAATTGAAAGACTGAAAGATACTTTCGCGCGCTATTTGTTTATGGGCTTAGACGCAACAAGTGTACATACGATAATGGAAAAAAAATATTTATTGAACGAAACAATTCCATAAAAATTTAAAGAATTTGATAATCTGTTTGAGCTTTCACAGCTTTATTTATCACCAGCTAGATCAGTAAAAAATAAAGTATACACCAACGGCGCAAAGAGAAATAAGCAATAACCAAATCGAATAAACACATAAAAGGGTGCCACAGAAATCTTTAGAGATTTTGACTCGAGGGATTTGTCAAGTCAAACGAAAAATCTGGATCGGGATCTCTAGAGATTTGAAAATTAAATACATCAAATTTATTGTTTTTCATTAGGAATCCGAGAAGGACCATTTTGTATAAAGTTACCTAAAATATTTTTTGCATTTGGTTACTCTTTGGTCATCATTTTTGAGAAATTTCAAAGCAACAAAATTTTTTGTTTGCCCGCTCAATTATAGTGTTTAATGACAGTCTTGACAAAATTTTTTATTGCGATTGTCAGTATTTAGTCTAAAACGAAAATAAAGGGACTAAAACAAGTTAAATCTTAAGTGGCATACGATAATTTCGCCAAAATGCGTCGATATGTACATGTGCATATTTTACATTTTTTTTTTACATTTTTTTTTTATCGTCTTCATTCAAGGCTGCCCAGGCTTCTTCAGAATTCCTTCCCTTCTCCATATTCATTATTATTAGCTTAAGCCGGAGCCTACCCGAATGTATAATCTTCCAGAGCCGTAGATCTGTGGCAGCTCTAGCTGGAAATTCTGGTAGGACGTTTTCTTTGTATAAATGGGCACATCCAAATACTGCATTGTATTATTATTCTTTTTTAAATAATCTCATAAAAGGGAGTCTTTTAAATTAATCAATCTTGTTGAAAATTGATTCATCGATCGAATGAAATCATATTTGAAGTTCTCTGAATCCTAGCTAGCTAGTAATCCTCACCAGAATCTAAAAGTCGGGGGAAAAATCAAATAAGTTCATGTACAAAAAAGAACCGGTTCTTTTTGGTATTTTTTTGCAAGGGAAATTACCATGCTCTTACGAACCTCCCCTTGCCGTGTTATGACATGATGCCACGGTATGTTAGGCAAATGGGTAGGATTTTACCTTGCATTCATTGCATTTGCTGGCCCGTTTTGCCTGTTGTCCATGCCTTCTTTTTCTTCTTCTTCCCTCTTGACGAGTTTTTTTTTTGGCCTGTTAAATATGATTTTGCCTTATGATGTTAAGTTTTCGAACTTATGTTATGTTAAGTTTTCGAAAAACCTGTTCTCTCGACCGCGGAATGCTCTCCTTTCAGAGGTGAAGAGAGCGTTTTCGTGGTGACTTTTCGTTGTGTGAAAAACATGTATCTTACGGGAACACGTATGGAATGAAGATTCATTGTTGCGTTCCATACGCGTTCCCGTAAGATACTTTTGATTTGTATGGGAAAAATTTCAGCAACATGGGGAAATGAATTAGCAGCATTGTTGTGCTACTTTGGCACGGAATGAGCAACAAGTCTGAATACCTTGGGAAAATTGATATTATGGACTTGAGATATTGTTTGTAATTTCAGGCTCCAATTAATGCCGAAACTAGTCAGTCTCTTTTTTAAAGACATCAACGAAATTTTGTAGCTCACGGGTACCAATAATAGGTATCAGAACCGGGATAAATGTGTATATAAAACACAAAACATATGCATTAATAGGTAAAAAACATGTCAATCTAGGATAATATCATAAATAATGTTTTAATGGAGCTTGGAACAAAACATTTAACATCAATTAAAAGAAATAAGGTATACAAAAACCCATACGCATAAAAGTAACTTGGTTGACCAGCAACACCGACGTCACATTTAGTCAACATTTACGTTTTATGCTTTGGCCGTTATTGTTTGAACCATATTATGCGAACAATCCAATGAAGAAGAGTTCTGAAAACTAGCCAATACCGAACAAAATTTATTGAGGAATTGCATAAAATGATTTGTTTAGGGCTGAGAGGGCCAACTAGCTAGTAATATTAAACGGAATATCAAAATTGAGAAATATCAACGTTGAATGTTTTGAAAAAAACAATCGATACTATCGTAATAGTATCGGGCTCAAATAATTATTAAAAAACCATTGAAACCTTTTAAGAACTTGTCCATTGTAAAAATTAGATGCCACCTGTCGATTTGTTTACAAATTTGTGTCTTCGTATTTTATAGCAGCCAATCTAAACATATCAAAAGCGCAACGACTGTAGCTCGATACTAACATGATAGTCGCAAAACCGTCGATAGTAGAGGCTAGCAGTAAAATATCGATACTATCGATAGTGCCCTCGATGGTTTGACTTATTGTTAAGTTTTCGAAAAACCTGTTTTGGTCGTTTTATTTTCTGGCACAGCACATATTTTTCGACCGCGGAATGGAAAGGTTGCTGCTGCGCGCGTTGTCTAATTGTAAAATAACTAAGAATTTGAAGACGGTTGCTCGGTGTTCGGTATATTAATATATATACAAATGTGCTGTATGTACATATATGATTGGTGTGTACCCCTCAACTCGTCCCTCTGTATTTGGTGCGCTTAGTATAGATTTTTTGCTTGCAAAAAATAGGTCTTAAAGCATTTTTAAGTGGTGTAAGCAAACTCCCCTATTATTTATTGATTTCCCCACCGAAGCACTGCTTTTTCTTTGAACCTGTGAACGTGAACGTGGTCGTGGTCTCGTTGCATAATTTTGTTGCTGCCTCGTTCGCGGTCGTTAATTCTGCCAAATAATGGTATAACTTTCCAAGAATATTAGGCAGAAAAAAAAAACACAAACGTGCCAAACGATTGGAAAAAGTGACGCAGTAGCTACCTACATTATGCATATGAGTCAGTGGAAGTGGAATCGGAATGTGCATAATAATTGAGCACAGCGAAGGGAGAAAAAATAATACTCAATAAGCGCAGCTTTGCTGCTGCTATAGTTTGCTGATTCTTCGATCGGTGGGTGGTGGGTGGGTGGTCCGCTTATGCTGGTTACTATACTATGTGACATAACGGTATTCTTGTGGCAAACAGAAAGTCCAACCTTCGAAGCAAAAAGTGAGCAGAACTGAAACAGAAAGGAAAGGGAAGAAGTACAGGAAGCAGCGTCGTTTTTGTTTCGCCTGTTATTTCTTCTCTTGGACTGCTTTCTGCTGCTTTTATCCGCTATTAATGTTTGTACATACATACATATGTATGGATGTATACCCTTCCATACGGTATAATTATTAGCAATGTCGGGTAATGCGCTTGTTTTGATCAGAATAGTTGGCAAGCATCAATGCAAGGGCATAGTATTAGACTTGTTTTAGTGCTTTGTTAATTGTGGCTCAGCATTTTTGGGATCGAAATCGGTAGAGGGGAGCATGGAGTGTTGGGTGGGTGCACTGGGACGGTCGGGTGGCTTTGTGGTTGTGCTGAGCATGCCTAATTTATGTGTGTTTGTGTTTAAATTGCAGATCTTAATCGTAGAACAGCCGCACACAGATACGCAAACGGACTGATACATTAAACAAATTTAACATATACTGCCACCACCCTCGTTTTCGTTGTCGTTGTGTTTTTGCTGCCGCTTTCGTCGCTGCAGCAGAGCCAAGTGAGAGAACAAGTGCGCCGCCAGCACCCCCCAGCCCCGCGCGTTATTTTTTATTGGTTAAACATGACGTCGCCTGGTTGCCGTGGATTCAGCGCGGCGGCAGCGCTGCTGCTGCTCTGCGCCACGTCTGCAGCTAGCGCAGAGCTGTCTGACAAATTGCGCGATGATTCGGAGCTTTCTCAGGTGAGTCGGAGTCGGAAAAACAACAGAGTCCGCAAACAGTTAATTTACAGTTAGCGTAAAATGTGTGTACATACATACACACACAATGCTTTTCAAAACACTTGTAGGTGAGTAGCAGGTTGGTCCCCCCCACCACTGTCCCAAATTCATCATCCCCCCAGCCGACCCGACCCTCATGGTTACTCATTCTTGGACACACACACAAGAGTTGACACTTTTCGGCCATCTTATGCCCAACGGCTGCCCTTGAACGGAAAAACCTTGACAGCCAGCGAGAGAGACAGCGGAGAGCGGGCAGGGCAAGCAGGTCGCTATTCGAAAAAGAGCCTGCGCAAGAGGGAGAGACTGCTCCCACTGCCACCTGCACAGGTAGAGCCAGAGGCAGCCTCCGGCTCAGCATTCCATTTCTAATCTCGTCCTTGACCTTTTCACTTGTCTTGTTGTTGGGCTGCCCCTGCTGCTGCTGTGGAAAATCGATGATCGGTGCAAACATAACTCCTGGCGGAGAGTTTTGTTGGAGTCCAAAATCCATACCCAGCCGCAGAGCCAGCCACAGCTACATTTTGTTCATATTTTTGTATGCATGGCGGAGCATTTTATTATGTAAACGAGTGAAACTACATAAATTAAGGTAAAACCAACCGAGTCAGACCGACCGACCGACCGACCGACCGACCGATAGACAGAGAGACAGACAAATGCCGGCCGTTGACGTCGACTGAGCATAACAGTTTTATATTTAGTTTGCCTTTTTACACCTTCACACGCCAACACACACACACACACACACACACAGACACAACATAAGAATAGGCAAAACACATTAAAAAACCTTAACAAAAAATTCAAATGCCAGCATAAGTAGAAAGGGAGTTACAACAGTGGCGGTGTTGGTCAGCATGGGCGAGCCTCATTGCTCAGTGATCCCAATGGACAAGATCTATGGCTGGTAATTCTTTCGGCTATGCCCTTGAAAGAGGCGAAGTTCTACTCTGCTAAGTATTTAATGGCCGAAAATACCTGTTACCCGAGAAGAAAGCCATCTTTCAGCTGAAACGAAAGCGTACGACGGAAAGAGAGGGACAGACAGGCATTGTAATTGTTGTTGCTAGTGTCTCCGCTGTGCCTGGGTGTCTGGGAAGTACGAATACGTGCAGATCCCTCCCTTCCCCTCCCCATAAAACAGAAGAACCTCGATTCAAGAGGTTCGCCAGAGACGAAACAGAGCATAGCCATGGTATTCCCATTATGCTGGAAATTCTCATTACAGGCTGATGGCTTAGATAAATATATACACATAGTATACGGTATGTATGTATGTATATTTAATTAGGTTAGTTTGCTTCTTGCGGCTTTGTGGTTTTGTGGGTTTTGCTTGGCAGATCCTAGGGACAGGCGGATAGTTAGCGGGATCCACATGGAAACGGCAATCATTTACTCAGTCGTAAATGTAATCGTTGGAGTGAAATTTCCAATGAAATTAATTTACATGCCTCTGAAGATTGCCCGCAGGCGACTCTATGTGCGGGCGGGTTGACCTCCTGCATTGACCCCACACTTCCTGTCGTGCGTTCGTCTCTGTTTGCATCGTAATCATCAGCATGATCATCGTCTTCGTTTTATTAATATTAATTTTTAACCTTTGACTGATGCAGTGCAACTGGAATTGCATTGGACACGAGTATGGTCGAGTGGGGGAGAGGCCGCGAATGGGTTGACAACGGCCGACTGCCGGCTGCCGGCTGAACACTGTCTAGGCAGAGGCGGCAGGGGCATGCAGCAGCATCGGGGATTCAATTAAATTTAATTTAAGATCACAATACGATGCCAAGGCGCGAGTGGGGCCGCCGCTCGCGGACCAACATATACGATATACGATATGCGATATGCCGTGCCTCATTACATCCGAGGCGATGCTTGAGAGCCACGGCTGACCTTAATGGAGCCAAAGCAGAGGAAAACACATGTCCGTGGAGACTGATTCATTTGAGTGATCCGTAGCCGGTCGGAGTGATGCCATATCCCCCGCACAGCCCCACCCTCCCACAACGATACCAATTAAAAGAGAAATGTGCTTCGATTCGGGGGTTGAGACTGCGCTTTCGCTTGTGCGCTTGTGGGCTTGTGTGTTCCTGCAATTATACCAAAATGTTAACCATACAAACAAACGAACATATGCATCTATAATTTGTACCAATTAAATTTATTTATACAACATCCACTCCCCTCTACATCCATGTGCTCGCTCCCACCGCCGGCTCCAGCTTCTTCTCGGATTTCTGTCCCTATTCAAAAAACTACGCCTCTCTCTCTCCATTTCTCTCTGTTGCTCATTAAATTTTATAACTCCATTAGCTGATGAAAATTGAATTTCCTCAAGTGCCCACGCTCTCCGCCCCCACCTACTTCCTACATTACACACGCGCCACAGTTGTAGTTGTAGTTGTTTCTTTTTTTTTGTTGTTTTGGATTAGGAAAAAATTAGTAAATTTTTGGCTAAAAGTGAAAGACAACAACAACAAAAGTTTGAGCTGTTAGCGGTTCTCTCTCTCTCTTCCTTTCTTTCTCTCTCTTTCAGAGCACTGCCAAATCCTTCAGGCGCCTTATGCCAGTGAGGGTAAGCTGCAATACCAAAACAAAACAAAAATTAAACGAAAACAACCCACACAAAACGAAACGAAACATCATTTGCAACAGTCACATGTTTTTAATTTGGTTACTAAATATTCAGACAGGGTGTAGGGCAGGGCAGAGTAGAGTACTCCCCTTCAACGCTGGAGGGGAGTGAGTGTGAGCCATTGGCCAAATTATTGTTTGCCCCGCCGTCTGGCTCTATTTCTGGCTCTGGCTCTGGCTGTGACTCATGCCCTTGACTCTCCCCGAGAGATTGTGGGACGGGTGCGTCTCTGTCTGCGGACTGGACTAGACTCCGGGGGTCATTGGCACTCGTGAAAATCAAAATGCGATTTACAAATCACCACCCTTTCCTGTCCCATCCCGCCCTTGAGAGCTTTTAAGAAAAAAGTTTCGCTTTTGCTTGTGTTTGCATAGTAAATGAGATGTCCTCACACAGAGCAGAGGGGCGCTTATCGATGACAGGATAATACCCTAACAATTGAAGCAAATTTCGGGCTTATGAAAACAGTCCCCGGAGATATCGCTTGCTGCCATCTGGCGTGGCAGCCGACCGACCGTTACTTTATCGCGATGGTGTGCCAAAGGGGCTGGAAAACTCATCAAGATAAATTTTCCCTTCATCAAATGCAAAACATTCGAAAAGTAAATTTATGAATGTAATTGCATATAATTGTCAAATGCTTCTAGTAACCCCCGAGGGATAGAGCCGGGAAGTGAAATGTGATGCTGTATGCTGACAGATGGAGGCCTGAGGCAGCGCTTCTTACTCTTCGTAATGCTGTTGAGTAAACAATGTCAATTCTATAATTTCTCTCCAATCACTTGCATCCGATGAGCAATGGACATGATATCGCTCTCAATAGGTTAGGTATCCGTCCCATTTCAATCGTATGAACCCATGCGACAGCCAAACCCCAATACCCTTGCTACACTTATCCAGCAGAGAGCACTCTCCCTCTCTCGCTCCTTTAGATAAGCGAAAACATTTTGAAAGCGATATAGAGACCTGGCCAGAACCTGCTTGCAAGAACAAAGCCAGCAGCGACTCGAATGACCGACCAGGACCAGGACAACGGCCCGCTCTAACGTGAACTGGCGACAACGGAGTGGAGGGGTCCGCTATCAAATTACCAGAAAAGAACAAAAAATGTATGTGCGTGTGTGTTCCTGCCGATGCCATACCATAGATACATGCATATGCACCGCGGTGGAGGGGGGGAACAGCGACAGAAAGGGAAAGGGCAGAGAGAAAACAGAGGGAAAAGGGACAGGAACGGGGACGACTCTTTAAGGGCAAATTGCCATGACTCATGCTGGGCAGAGGACCAGAGGCAGGACCTGGACACAAACACGAAAGTCACACGACTCAGCGAGCCATTTTAAAAGAGAGCACAGAAAAAGGTGTTGTCCTCGGCAGGACATGCACCCACACCAGCTAACACACACACACACAGATACACCCTAATACACCAATATATGTATTTACTTGGTGCCATAAAACTGGCTGAGAATGTGCAGCGGGGCGTGCCGGCGGGAGGTGGTGCTAGCTGGGAAGCCGCAAAGTGTGCGGTTGCATGTCGTTGCCGCTGCCCAAGCCGCTGTTGCCAGGCCGGAGCAGGTGGCCGGACTGGGACTGGGCCTGGGCCTGGGCCTGGTTTAGGGTCAGTGGCTGGTATTTGGGGTAGCTGGAAAATGCATTTTCATGTCCCGCTCCTGACAGATAGCGACTCTCTCAATGAAATGACACACACACACAGTCCACTTATCCAATGAACCGGCTGACAGACGAGTGAGCTGGCTGGAGTACAGATAAAGAGCCACCCCCGGGGGTGTACGTACGTATACAGCTATCCTGGCGGCCATTCTGCCGCTTACGTAATTGGTTCAATAAACCTTTTTGCAGGGCATGCATAATGTTTCTTCTTTTATTAGTTTGTTTGACGTTGCCATGGAAATTGCCCGGCTCTGTTAGTCTCGGTCGCAGTTTTGCCAAAAGTGTCCCCCCTCCCACAGCAACCACCCCCAAATCCACCCTACCAACCCACACCCACACCCACAAGCGCACACCCCACGCAGCAACCAACTCCTCGCACATTTGGCTCGATATACTCGTAATACTATCGGTCATGCATACAGTAGAGAGAGAAAGTGTAACGCTGGCCCCCTTATCTTTGCAGTTCTACAGCCAAGTGGAGCAGAATCCCATTGCCAATGCAACGCTAACGCTGCGCAGCTGCACCCTCTTTGTGCCCACCAACGAAGCCTTCCAGCGCTACAAAGGGAACATCCATGTGCTCTATCACATTAGTAAGTGTTGCGATAAATCATTAATAATACTTGTGTTGATTGTGTGCAATGCATCATTGCAGCTACTGCGGCATTCAGCAAAGAACAACTGCCAAAAACTGTGTCATCCGACATGGATGGCAATCCGCCGCTATATATCACAAAGAATCGCAATGGTGACATCTACGTGAACAATGCACGGATCATTCCCTCGCTGAGCGTGGAGATGACCAATCGAGAGGGCAAGCGACAGGTCAGTGTCAGGCCACTGACCCCTTTTTTCAGCAATGGCAATGACAATTCAATGTGTTACTTTCGCCTTGCAGGTCATGCACATCATTGATGAGGTGCTGCAGCCACTGGCCGTCCAGAAGAATGCTCAGGACAACATCAACAATCCGGATGCGATGCAATTCCTGCAGATGGCCGAACAGCTCGAGCTGAACGACTTCCACCTGCGCACCTATCGCTCCCAGGTGACGTTGGCAAAGAAGGAGTCCGTCTACCAATCGCCCGGAGCTCACACCTTCCTCATTCCGATCGACGAGAGCTTTAAGGTGACGTCCGGCCCCGCCTTGTGTTAACTGAATCGAATGTAATCAAACAAATATGCCCATCTAATTGCAGCTCTCGGCACGGAGTGGCCTAGTGGATGCCAAGGTCATTGATGGCCATGTGATACCGAACACTGTCATCTTCACTGCCGCCTCGCAGCACGATGATCCCAAGACATCGGCTGCATTCGAGGATCTGCTCAAGGTTACCGTCAGCTTCTTCAAGCAAAAGGATGGAAAGAGTGAGTCCACCGCCCCCAAAAGAGCGCCGTCATCGATCTGCAGCTAAGTCAGCTCCATGTTTCTTTTTCTGTTGCAGTGTACGTAAAGTCCAATACGATTGTTGGCGACGCCAAGCATCGTGAGGGTGTGGTTCTGGCCGAAATCGTCAAGGCCAACATTCCAGTGCAGAACGGAGTCGTCCATTTGATCCACCGACCGCTGATGATCATCGACACGACCGTCACCGATTTCCTAAAGGTAGAACACAGAAGCACACACACACCCACACACACACAGACAAACACACACACACACAGAACTCAAACTCTAGCCAACACAAAAGTACACAAATACACAGTTACTACATAAGATACAAAACAAACGATACAAAGACCGATACCCCATTCACTGATAGTGCCTGCGGCTTGTGATAAGGCTTGGCATTTTGATTGGCTCGGCACGCTGGGGGCGGCAATTAAGTTGCTTGCCACCTGCGCCCCAGCAATTGCTTAATATACACACATACAGACACACACAACACATACTAAAACACATACTAAGTAATCACTTTTGCTTTGCATTTCGCCGAGTGGCTGCTGCTGCTGCCAAAACTCTCGCCAGGGGCAAAACATTTCCAGCAGCCTTCTGCTGAATGCAAAGCAAAACCCAAATCGAACTGCACCCTACCCTAACCCTACCCGACACACATACAGAGAATATAATAGTCGATACAGAACCCCAGTTCCATATAGCAAAAACATTTAGTAAATTAAAAAAAAAAAGAAACCCAACAACAACAGCAACAAAAATCCCAAAGTCTGATTTTACCTAGAACTGAATTTCGTCATTTGATCGATCAAATTGGTGCAAGATTTTCCTGCAAATGGAATTTTTGCCCAAAAAGTTGTTGTTCCGTTCGGTTCCATGTAAAATCAAAAGCAAAATTTTATTTTAAAATAATTTTTTAAAATATAAATTTTATTTTAAAACAATTTTGGGTGTAATGTAAGTATTGCCAAAATCGAAAATTGAACAAAACCAAAAAATTTATTAGACCTTAACTCAATGTATTTCATGTGAATCTCTCACTGATATCAAATTTTCATATCAGAATGCCTTTTCCTCGCAGTTTCCCTCAGTCTCTCATAGGACAGACCTCAGGCAAGGCGCTCGAATTGGACACAACAAATTTCAAACCTTTCCAAATTGGCAAACATTGAGAAATTTAATTTTATTAAACTTTGCGCCTTGCTCAGTCTGACTGGAATCGCAAAAACTTCATTCCGCAAAAGTTCCCATTACTTGCCATTTAAATGGAATGTATTCTATTCATTTATTGGACACGCATACATATTGTGTACTCGTATTCCCTGCCTCGCTTTCAGTCGCCGTCCATAAGATCCACTGATCCATCTGTCAATCAGTCGACCGATCGCTCGCTCAGCCGGCATGCTTTAGCTGTACTCGTAAATGTTTCTTATACGTATAATCTTGCCCACATCCGCTGTAAGGAAGAGCCCCTCATAGACATCCTCCACATTACACATATACAGTGCGTTTCAAAACTGTTATTCTTATAATTTTAAATATAAGTTATATGCTGTCAAAGTTTTATGCAGTTGTCCAAAGTAAATGTAAGAAGCCAGTATTTGGGATCGTCTGAAGTTAGTTAAGGAACGGATGTTGCGGCATTCGCCTGCCCCATAGTTATGAAACGGACTGTACGTTGTTGTGTCATTTTGAATGGATCAATTAGCGTTGGCCTCATCTCGTTATCGTTTTCAACAAATTTCCTTTCTCTAGTTCTGTTGCAATTACTCGTAATGTTTCTCTTTTCCCAAATCTATTTACTGAACCAAAATCTATCTTTTGTTTCTTGCCACATGCTGAATCGACATATACTTATACATATATACAAAACAACATACGTACATCACATTCCAACCACATATCGCTCAAATATTGAACTGATACACCGAATATTTTCACCAAATACAAATACCTAACCCGATAACGAATTCAGTCGTTCAAGGTAAAAATATCAATCAAATTCCGTTTTAATATTGAGTTTACGAGTATTGCTTTGCTTTGATTTGCAATTTGAGTTTGCTGCCCTGCCCTAAACGAATATTCCATTTGCATGACTGCCGCCATCCCAGAATGTGATTTAAATGGCATGTGAATAACTTAAGTTTACTTTACCAATTGACAAAAAAGAAACAGAAAAGCGGCCCCTTTCCGGCTTATACATTTGTACATATGTATATACCTTGGGGACTTACCAGTTGTTGTATTTTGAGGAATTTAGTTTGCACTTAACGATTTGCACACACTCGTTCCTGCAAGGGAAAGAAAATTAGAATCCAAAAGTATTTCTTTTGACTTGAGAGTCAGACCCACAGCATAGACAGATGGATAGACTGGTGAAAGCTTTTTTGTGGGGTTTTGAGGTGTATTGCAACTATGTATTTGGGTACTTTTTGTTGTCCTACTTGTATTAGAAGGCTTTGTATTAACTTTTAAGTGTTGAATTCGCTGTAAATGTTGAAAAGTGCACGCCAGAAAATCGAAAACATTAGTTAATTAAATGTAAATAATGGAACAACTTTTGCCTGCAAACTGCAAATATGATGTAGAAACATGAGAATAAAATCTATGTATTTCCAATTGTGCTTCCTTTCAAACGTTCTCCCGTGGCGGAACAACTCTGGCACTCTGCGTGGAACACATTGTTTAAAATGTTACATTTTATTCGAATCTTAAATCAATCAATCAATCAAACAATCAATCAAAACCAAATATTTTTCTCTACCACAACTCCGTTTTGTAAACCGATTTAGTTCTTGAACGTAAGTAACTGTGTAACACACACACACACATCCCGAGCATTAGCGCACTCACGCACACACCGACAAACACACCGACACAACAGCCACAAAACAGTCGTCGGTGCAACATCTGTATCAAATTGCTATCAAATTGCCATCAAAATCCAACTCAATCACCGCACAATCAAGTCCACAGTCCCACTAAACATTTTACAAACAATCAAATCAGTTACAGATAGAATCAGATTTTTTCTCAATCATCTGGCATTAACCTCATTTTAGAGTGGAATTAAAAAAAAAATTAAAAAATTGTCAGACCATTTCACCTGAATAATTCCCAGATTGTTGTCTATACAAAAATGTTACAAATTGATGTTTATGTGTACATGTTTGACCCCCCCACCAAAAAAAAGTACCCCCATTAGCATGAGCATATTCCAACCTACCATTCAACAGTTACTTTAATTTTATTTCTATTTTTAATTTGATGTTTGAGCACTTTTCTTCGTTCGTTATTGGAATCAAAACTGAATAATATCGCTTTATCTTTTGAAGGAGAACGGCGAGAACGGAGCTCTCAGAAAGTTCTACGAAGTTATTATGGACAATGGTGGCGAAGTGCTGGACGATATCACCAATCTGTCGGAGGTCACAATTCTGGCACCCAGCAATGATGCCTGGAATGCATCCCTAATCGAAAATCTTTTAAGGTAAACACTCAAAGCCTCACTGAAACGGAGTGTATTTTTTGATTATGGATTTTGTTTGACTCTCAGAAACCGCAAGAAGATGAGGGAAATCCTGAACATGCACATCATTAGGGACCGCTTGAATGTGGATAAGATCAGGCAGAAGAATGCCAATATGGTAAGAGGAGGCGCTCTGGCTGAGATTTAAAGACAGTTTGAGCTTAGCTCATCGTATTCACAATCCACAGATTGCCCAAGTGCCCACCGTCAACAACAGTACGTTCCTGTACTTCAACGTGAAGGGCGAGGGTACCGATGCCGTGATCACCGTTGAGGGCGGCGGCGTCAATGCCACTATTATCCAGGCTGACGTTGCTCAGACGAATGGCTATGTGCACATTATCGATCGGGTCCTGGGCGTTCCGCACACCACAGTTCTCGGCAAGCTGGAATCCGATCCCATGATGAGGTATGCCCGTCTGGATTTTCGCAACTGAACCGTTTTGTCTGACTTAAAATTCTCCCACCATTCATTCACAGTGACACCTACAAGATGGGCCAGTTCTCACACTTTAACGATCAGCTGAACAACACTCAGCGTCGCTTCACCTACTTTGTGCCCCGGGACAAGGGCTGGCAGAAGACCGAGCTGGACTACCCATCGGCTCACAAGAAGCTCTTCATGCCTGACTTTTCCTACCATGTACGTTGGCCATTTATCGGGCAGGGCATGAAAGCAGGCCTTACCCTAATTTGTAAATATTTTTCTACAATTGCAGTCAAAGTCTATTCTGGAACGCCATCTGGCCATTGCGGATCATGTGTTCACCATGAAGGATCTGGTTCAGTACTCGCAGCAGGCCGGCAACGTTGTCCTGCCCACATTCCGCGACTCGCTCCAAATCAGAGTGGAGGAGGAAGCTGGACGTAAGTTAATTGCCGAAACCAAACGGTATCCAGGGCTAAATGCTCTAAATGCTTATCTTTCGATTCATTTCAATCAATACTTGATTTATTGTACATATTGGTCCTCCTCTCATTCTGTATTACTAACCGATCCCGTTTTTCTATAACTCTCGACACCAAAAATTTCTCGCTTTGTGCTTAACCAAAAATCTAACCGTTTGTCCAAAACAAAAGACCTACATGATGAGAATGCTAGTCACGAATGGACTGGTGAGTGCTGCCGTTTGTCAAACCCACATCGCACAGCCCACAAATCTGCCCTGGCCAGAACCCATACCCATACCCATGCCCACATTAGAATCGAAATCCATCGAAAACCACATATAGCCAACATAACATACAAAATGCGTTCGAACAGGACAGAGAAATGATTCTAATTGCGATATGGTTTATTTTGCAGGCTATGTGATCATTTGGAACTACAAGAAGATCAACGTCTATCGGCCCGATGTGGAGTGCACCAATGGAATCATCCATGTCATTGACTATCCGCTACTGGAGGAGAAGGACGTGGTTGTGAGCGGAGGTAGCTATCTGACAGAATCAAGCATTTGCATCATTTTGGCCAACCTCATAATGATAACAGTAGCAAAGATCTTGAACTAAACCAGCATCCAATATGTAAAAATCAAATCGAATCAAAAGCAAAAAGCAAATGCGAATGCGAATCAAACAACAACCGCAACACATACCAACCACCACAACCACCACAGTCACAGTCGTCTACAGAAACTACCATTCAACCGATCAAACTCAAACCAACTTAAAAAATCAGATTAATATGATATATATATATATGGATGGATATATGTATAACCATCACTACATACATATGTACATGCATATCCATATGATAGTCGTATTGAAAGCAAGCAACCAAAAGTGTATCTGTATTATATGCGTCACAAGGAACCAGCCTTCCACCATGCCACATGCCACATGCCGCCTCATGCCCCATTTACACATAGACACACACACTCAGAAACACACGCATGCAGGGAACTGCAGAGCTGCTAGCATTCCTCTGAAGATGATGATTGATAATGAAAATGAAGACGTTGATGATGATGATGAAACCTTTACTTTTAAGTATTAAACTGGATTCCCCCCCACTCCCTTCTAAGGCCTTATGTATTATATGAAATATATAACCCCATTGTGTAACATTTTAATTTTATGTTCGACATATACTGATAGCTTACGTTCATATCGCCTACGTTCATCAGCTCGATAAGTTTTACATTTAATCTAATCTACATACATGCGTACATAAGTACGTGTGTATGTATATCTCTACGTATTGATCTGATTGTGTTTATGATTTTAAGTGTACATTTTTATTTAATTTATGATTTAAAAAGTGAGTTATCCTAAGTAGAATGCGAATTTCATTCATGTAAATACATACATATATGTATTTATGTACATGACATGTCAACGCAGAAGCAATAAGCGCATCACATACTCTCATATTCGTAAAAATACACACACATACACTTACATTACCAACACCCACTCACATACACAAACCAAACTGTAAAATTCGAAAAACGTGTGAAAGATATTTTATAATAAACTGAAAGTTTTTCATTTGAACATTCGATGGTAAACGTACGAAACTAAATTTTAAGTTGTAAGCCCAGCCAGCATATCCTTGTATCCTTCAAATCGAATGAAAGACTATACACACACATACATATGTATTTATGTATATGCTCAGGACAAGAAATGTGCAAGGCATCCAAACAAAGAAACAATTAAATTAAATGAAATGCCACCCAGCACTTAGTTGTTAGTCCTGCCATGCATGTAAACCCCACAACAGAACACACGCCCCACCACACCCACACCCACAGACATCAGATATCAGACATGGAGCGAAGATACATAGCAACTGCAATTTAAGTAAGTCGAATGCGAACAACTGCTAACTACTACTACAACGCATACTCCTCCAATACTCCAACACACAATACAATATCCTGTTTCCACTGAGACATGCAACAGAACACGACATTTACTCACTGAATGGATTTTGATATAAATTTTTAACCTACATACAATATAAATACAAATATACGACAATGATGTGAACATCAGAAACATAACAAAATTTCTCCTACTCTGCTGCATCCCCTGCTGCAACGCAACTGCTGCAGCTGCAGCTGCAGTTGTATTTTAAACTTTGTATGTAGTTGTCATGTAAAATTAAAACAAAAAAACAACCTAGTTTATAGTCTGATTTAGAACAACCCGATGCTAACCATACAAACTCTCTTTCTATTTCTCTCTGTCTCTCCCCGATAATGCCATGTATTTATAGGTTAGACATTGTAACTAGCGTGTGTGTGTCCTAACCTACCAAAACAACCAAAAACTGAGCGTTAAAAATTGAACTGTTATACTCCTTCTTCTATGTAAACCCCCTAAGAGAAAACACGCATTAACTATCAGCCTACCTACCAGTACACACAACTCCTACTATCAACAAGAACAACCACACACTCAACCAACCCACATACGATCGATACCCGATACTCGATACCCGTACTGTAGCGAAAACTCTCAGTTTAAGTTGTCGCAGTTGCTTTGTGTAGTTGCTAATTCCCGATCTGATCGGATACCCCAATTCCAGAAGTTTTTATCTTTAGTAGGCGGCGGGGTCGTCGCTGCAATGTTGCTTGGTATATTGTAAGCAGATTAGTTTGGGTTTTGCGGCCAGTATTGCACTGGCTGTAGCAGCTAACCGAAAATGTATGTAGTGAAAAAATGATGAATACGCTAAATGGAAAGTATGTACACGAAAGCTTTAAAGAAGAGTGCTGTGCTGCTTCGAAGAGTGGCGCAGATGGGAGCAAAAAAAAGACGGATTTGTGAGGGGAAACGCATTGCAATTGCAATTAGTGTGTCGTAGTCAGTAGTTACACGTTGGCCAGCGTCCTAGCGTGTGACTAGTGCCTTACTAAAGATAAACGCATTACCTTAACCTTTATACAAATTTACTCGAATTAAATGTATGAAATTAAATGAATTAAATGAATTATTACTTCTAACAACTAACGAAGAGTGCAAATGGCGAACAACAAAAGCGAAGCTGCATTGATTTGCGAGCTACATACAATACAATACAATACAATACAATACGATACCACACACAATACAACCGCAAGACACTTGTAAAAGTTAAAGTATAACTAAATGCAAAAGTATAATGAAACATATGGATGTGTAAGAGATTATATATTTATGTTCTGCTTCAACATACAAATATAAGTATATGTACACCATAAAATATATACATATACATACATACATACTGCAGAAATGATACTCAGCCACGCCACACGCTATTTACACCAAACACACAATATACAGATCAAGAAATCCATATTTTTCATATATTTGTCAGAATAATACTATAACGTACATAAATGTAGTTTAATTACTGTACAACTCCAAGAACATCACGATTGGGTCGTAAATTGTATCTGCAAGGAAACCTAAATCCAATATATCCAATGTACAATATTTAGCAATTGAGTTTTGAATCAAGCGTTAGCCACGAGAATATATCATATATACATATATCTGAAACCAAGCTTAAACTATGGAAAACCGCAGTGCAAAAAAATATTATTCCATTTTATTTTATGACAAACGCTTTTTACAAATAAACCGAAACCATTTGAACCGTAAAGGAACAAGATTATATATAGCATTAGTTAAACTAATTAATACATGTACTAGTAAACAGAATGTCAACCTCTACAGCATGCTTGAGCGAATAATAAAATTTCAAAAATAAATATATGACTAAACCCACGAACTTTGTTTGTTTTATTCATTTATTTTATTCAAGCTAATTTGATTTTAAAATTCAAAATTCTGTTTGGAGTGATACTTATCATTTAAATATGGGCACATTTGCGCCAGTGGTGGTGTTTTCTAGCTATCGATATATCATACAAAAAATGCAAGATGCGGGGTCAGGCGGTATATTTCATCCGATAAGTCCGCGGTCACACTGAAAACCATGTTAAACAAAAAATGCAAGATGCAGGCATTCTAATTGGAAAAAAACCACTTTAATTACATGTTGAACACTATTAAAGAAGTATTACGTGGACAAACAAAGATAAGCCGGTGTATTTGTTGCGGTTGATGACGGTTGTTCGCTGATTCCGGGTGTTGACAAGGTTTTTACCTTAGCAGCGCTATGAAGAAGCGGAGCTCACGTTGCAGTTCGGAGGCTTTCAAGGAACAGCCGATGGACAGTGACGACATCAGCCTGCTCCAGCGACCATTGCGCACGGCCCACACTGGCTTCGAGGAGGCGCGCCGAGCCTACGAGGATGGAACCAACGAGGTAAGCATCGCTTACGCACAGGCTGTCTACGTGACTCAGACTAGTGCAGCAATGGCGAGCGGCGAACATTCCTTGGCATCGAGTTCCGTGTGTTTTTATTAAGTATCTCTGATATTGGTATTGAATATCTGCAGGTGCGCCAGCTGCTCAGTCAGGAGTGCAGCCTCATATACGAGTGCAAAGTGTGCCGCAACATGTTCCGCAGTCTTGCGAATTTCATCAGCCACAAGCGGGTCTTCTGCTGTGTGAGTGCCCGCACAGCCCAGCAGAATGGATACACAGTGAGTGCGCAGTAAAGACAATATCGCATTACAATATTTCTGGGTAAAATCGTGTGAATCATCATTGAATTCGCTTACAGGACCATAACTCCATCATCATACAAACGGGCAGCGGGCCGTCGCCCCAGGACATTGAGCACATGTTGCGCAGTCGTAGCACTGGCTGCTCGCCAGTTCCTCGCGAGGTTCGTCCCATACGCGGCAGTATACGGGACCTGAGTGGAGTCATCGAGCGTCTGCGACGTGAGAAGGCGCCCTCATCCATGCAAAATGCGCCCACGGTGCTGAAGCTGGAGTCGGTGCCGACGTCCAGTCAGGCAGTGTATCAAACCATTAAAATCGACCAGGATGACAGCATGCGAACCGAAATAAACGAGGTGCATCACATGCTCAATCCCGCAAACACCATTGTCGGCCCAGATGGCAAGGCAATGACTAAAATCAAATTCGAGCGCCGAGATGGCAGTGACTCAGGCGAAACCGCCGAGCAATCCATCAGCGATGACACGGAAGCGAACATATTTTGCGAGACATGTAAGGATAGATCATGGTTAGATGGTCCGAGTGGGCTGTGGAACTAATTTTCGGCTTGTCTTTCTTTCATTTTGACAGGCAACCTAACATTTCAAACTCATAAAACACTGCACCTGCACATACAAAAGAATCATTCGTCGTCGACCTTTGTGTTTCAGTGTCCAGCCTGTTCGGAAACCTTCCTGCAGGCCGCAGCAGTTATACGTCATTTGTCCAAGGAACACAAGTGAGTACAGCTGCTTATATAAAAGAGAAACACTAACTAATAAGGCAGTTCTCGGAGGAAGATAATACAAGTTCAAATTCTGTGGGAGAGTTAATGCTAATTTGTATTTTACTTGGCAGGAAACCAAGGCCTCGCATTCGAATGATGCGTAGCAGCATCCTCAAGCGTCGCATCAAACAAGGAGATATTCAGCCGAAGGGACCCTCTCGCGAGCTCAAGCGCCTGCAGATGTCCGACGATGTGGTTGGCTACACGCCAGAGCCAGTAGATGCGAGTGGTGAGCAGCGTAAAATTATGTCACTGTGCATTTACTGCGAGAAGTCATTCGAGCGTCGCGCCGCCTTGTCCACTCACCTGCTCAACTGTCGGGCCAAGCAAGAGGCGCTGGCGAAGCCGGCTCCCGGCGCCAAGAAGCTGAAAACAAAGGCAAATGAGAGCAATGCCTCTAGTGTTGATGGTGCGGATGCAGAGGATCCACCGGCTGCCACAGTAGATCTGTCGAGCATCGGACGCACCATTAAGCAGGAACCTGACGCCGACTCGACTGCTCTGAACGAAATGTTCGCTGACCTGGCGGAAAAGAATGAAACGTTCGTAACGGGGCTGCACACAGTCTCACTGGACAAGCTGCAGCTGCGCCACGAAACCGACTCGGCCAGCGTCGCGAGTAGCAATACCAACAACAGTGAGGAGGAGTCGCTCGCCCAAGAGTCCAATCCGGATGAGGCCAAGGCCAAGGTGAAGAAGAAGCGCAGTGTGCCAATCGAGAAGCAACTGCGTTGCCGCTGCAAGCTGTGCAACAAGGAGTTCAATGCCCTTGGGAACCTGCGTCGACACATATCCATGTTTCATTACCGAAAGTCACGCTTCGGCTGCAACGTGTGTAACTATCGCGCCTTTCGTCGCTACGACATTGTCAACCACTTGGGCTTCGTCCACAAGATTGAAGGCGATCGCGATCAGCTAACCGAGCAGTACGTGTCGACACAGGCGTGCGATTACTCGCGCGAAGATGTCGATGCCGATATCATTTTGGTGGATGAGGTGGAGGAGGCCGAAAGTCTGGCAATGAAGGATTTGGAGACCAAGCCACCAATCAGGACATACGAGAAACGCACAAAGCGTGCCAAGACGACTGAGCCAGCGGGGGAGGCAAATCTCATATTAGATTCGACTGCGATAAAGCAGGAACCCGACCTGGAACCGGCCGAACCCGTGACCAGCAAGAAGCGGCGCAAATCGCGCATTCAGATATCTCCCGAGTCCGGCGAGCAGACTACCGAGAAGCGTCCCACACGCAAGCGTGTCAAGGCGGTCAACAAAGACTTTGTCTACGATATGGTACGTTCGAAGCAAGATGGCTCCAGCACACAGACAGCACCAGCAGCCCTGGCCATGGAGTCCATGCGCGCCAAGCTGCGACGCCATGCGGGCAACGACGAGAACAAACCTAAGCAATGGGAGGCCTACATAACCGAGGCCAAGAAGCCACTGGTTCAAGGTATCACGCGTCGCATAATGCTGGAGCTTGTCAGCCAAGGACGCGCCGTGTCTGCCACACTACCAGAGCTGCCATCCGAGAGGCCGCAGATACGACCGCGTCTCATTTCCCACACACGCAGCGAAAGCCAGCAGCAACAGCAGCAGCAGCAGCAGCATGTGGTGGAGCCCGAGAGTTTTATCGAGAAGATTGCAAAGCGTACTGCAGCCGCTGGCAAGGATACCGCCGTCATAAGTAACCTGTGGAACAAGGTCAACACAGCGATGGCCCAGCAGCAGGGATTGCCCAAAAAGGAGACATCTGAGGAGATTCCATTGGCGAAGACGCCGCCCAATAGCAAACCGACTCCGTTGGTAGCACCACCGTCGCCACCACGCAAAAGCCAGGCAACCGTTGCCGTCTCAGTTGTGACACCCACACAGCCTTCATCGACACCGACAACGACAATGCCCCCCCGGCTAACCGCTGGTATGGAATGCCTGGGCAGCAACGGCAGTCAAGCGGCCAAATTTCCGGCATTACCCAAGCCGCCATCCGTTCTACAGGCAGCTGCCAATGGCACCATTCAGCTCACATTGGATAGTCTCCTTCGCGCTGCCCTGCAGAACTAAGCGGAACCAGAAATGGAATTTTCGCAGTCACCATTTTCCACTGTTGCACGGTTTTTCCCCCAATACCCCCCGCCTCACTTCTGTACTTTTCTTGCAACTTTCCGCTTTTCGTGTGGAATGGCGTTGCTGTCTCATTTAACGTTTAAAATACATACTTATATGTAATCCACTGGTGTCCTTATTATATAAAAGCAAGTAAGAAATTAAGAAACAAAAAAAAACAAAAGAAAAGAAAAAGAAACCAATTATCCCTAGATGGTAGATCGCTTAGAGTATTAATGCTATGGAACAACCAAAACGAAACATATGGAAAATTATAGTATAATTTTGCAGATATTAGGGAATGTTTGTTGTTTGTCGTCTGAATGGCAAGAGTACAGAATTTGTAAAATGTTATAGTTAATACTTTGTATGTACCTAATTTTATAGAGAACTGCAAATCCCCCTTAAAATAAGGACCACAATTTTATATAATGTGTAATGTGTATGTGCTGTACATATGTATGTGTGTTGGTATTGTATTGTATTGTATGTACAACAGGCTGACTGACCGGCTGCAATATTAATTGTACGATTTACATACAAATACCGTGTGCTAAAACCAAAATTCACTGTGTATACATCCTATGAGGATACTCGAGTGGGATGGGTAGGAACAACATCTTGCCATCTATCATGCGAATCCATCTCGGCTCGGAACATTAATACATACCTACATCCAAGAACATCACACTGCGCCTGAGGAGAAGGCGGAGGCTGGGGCTATGGCTGAGGCATGCCAGCATGAGGTCTCGCCTCTTCATATTGATGCTGCATAAATTTGTTACTCAAAATGTTAATTACGAACTAAGCGAAAGTTAAAGCAAACGTTGTTTGAGGCAATCTGTTGTTCATATACATACCTATACAAATTCTTATACATATAACAATGTTTTCATACAGTCGAACTTCTTTGGCTCGAACCCATCTGTCGATGCCCCACCCCACCACATAACTTGCACATAACTTGCCATTTTCGATGCGAAAATAATCCGTTGATTATAGTACACAGCAAACATCGGTTAAATGACAAATTTGCAACATTCTATGGCACAGTATTGTCATATTCAAAAGCCAATTCCAGTTAGGTAACCGTTTCCCGTGCTAATCGATACAAACAATTCTTCTTTAAGATTCGTATAAGCGATATGTACATATGTATGTGCATTGTACATATATTTTAAACTCTTTTAATAATTTCACTACGAGCATATTATGTTTGCAGCTTTTACCACTCCAATAACTTTATCTATTCCCAAGAGAAGTTGGAATTTGGCTAAACCCACAGAGGGACTTTGGTGCCATCAGTTGACTCCAATGCCAGGCAGAACTGGCCTAATTCTGGCCTGACAGCACAGGGGCTTATGCAATTGATGGGCCATTCCGAAATTCATCTCATCTAAATACAAAAAAAATATTCGAGGGCGAAAAGTTCGACCGTATGTGCAATGTTAATTTGGCAATTCTTTTATCATTAACTTAAAGCACACTCACACACACTTACAGAAACGATCTACGTACATATGTATGTATGTATGTATGTATGCATATGTGTACGAGTAGTTCAATGTATTGATGTATCATGGTGCGAGTATCGTACTAGGTAGAGCCTTAAATCAAATCACCAAATGATAATAAATTCTATAATAATCACCAAACGCGAAATACATATGTACTGGTAAATAGGGCAGGGGCGGGCCAACAGGTGTCCAATTTTCAGGTCCCAGCTACTTGCCCCGGGACTAAGCAAAATAGAGCAGGTCGCAGCTGTGTACCAGAAGAGAATCCAGGGCATTACAGCGGGATGCTGGTGCTGGTGCTGTTGCTGTTACTGCGGTGGATGATGCTCAACAATGGAAATTGTGTCACGGCCAGGAGGATGGGCGTGGAAGTGGACGTGTGGCACTTGTGCATGGGAATGGCCGGGTGGCAACCAGGGCGAAAAACCGTAACCAGGCCACACTTTAAAGCTAAGCGAGTGCGTTCCCTCCCAATCGCTCTGTGAGTCCGTGTGGGTGTGTCGCCGATGGAGAAGATATATCCTGAGAGAGATGGCTGGCGAACGGGAAGCGCAACTGTGTGTAATTGGAGACCGAAAGTGAAAACGCCCAGGCCTTGAAAGACTCGCCTGCTCGCTGCAAGCGCTGGAGCTGGGCGCTGTCTCAATTCTTATAAAGAAAAGTGAACTTAAAATTGATTTATTATTGCAGCAGAGCAGGAGGGCATGTGCCTCGGTGCCAGCATCAAATTAATGCCACTTACAAAGGCATTACGTTCGAATAGAGCTAGAAGCACCGGGTCCTGGTGTTGCTCTGATGCTGATGCTGTGGGGCCCGCCCCTTCGCTGAGAGAGCAAACCAAAACCCACTTCGCCATCACAAATTTGTGCTGCATAAACTGATTAAGTGATTTCAGGTTCAGGTTCACGTTCAGGTTTTACATGCAGATGGTGGAGTGGGGTGGGGGGTAGGGTGCAGGGCATCAACATCAAACAAACAGCAGCCATAATGCGCCACTGGGAACTGCAGACTGCCAACGACGAACAGCCAACTGACATTGAAAGACGACAAAGACTCCGGCGAGCATGTGATTGAGTGACAAAAGTGATGGAAAAGAAATTCCCACTGGTTACGGCCATGCTGTGTCGCAAATGCCTTAATGCTTCGCCATTCCCACACAGAGTTCGAGGCACAACAAAAATATATGTATATGAGCAATGAGAAAATACTGACAGCGAAGGCTTAAAAGGCTTTTAAGAACTTACGATGCTATGTGCCTCACGGTCAATAAAGGAACATTGCAACATGGCCAGCAAACCGACAGTTGCCGCTACTGCGCCACAGCCAGGAGCCACGGGAGCTGGAATGATTTCTGTTTGCTTGGAAGCCGACTCTGCTGACCTGACCAGCAAATACATACAGCCGACACAGTGCCATTGACAATTTAATTAAAAATTAATTGAAAATTCTTAATAGAGTCCCCAGAGACGAGAATCGATCTGTATATGTATCTGTGTGGTATATGTATTCCGTTTCGCATTGATGCAGGCATTTTCGTACGTACTTAATGCAAGGATCCATATCCATTCTGCCTACAAAGAGGAAAAACCAAATCAATAAGCTACTCGATTGCCATGTATGCATATTTATTGTGCATGCTCGTACGAGTAGATGTAATTACCACTTAAATGTCGCCAACTAGACCATCGCGGCCCGACCATTCCCCACATACGCCATGGGGGCCCTGTGAGAGTCACTTAAAATCAAATTAGGATAATTAAATCGCTCTCGTGCAGTGGGGATATCTTTAAATTTGGGTCACCCATACTTACATGGGAAAGCAAAGCTCCCCCTTACCCCCCTTAGCCACCACCACTATCCATCCAATCCAGCCGAAGAGACAGCTCCCAGCTGGTTCCAGCAGCTGCGTCAAGTGCCTGCCTTTCAACCAAATCGGGGAGGCTCCTCGGGGCACGGCACCCAGCGCCCCAGAAAGTGCTCCAACAGTACTAAGTACTGTTTATTTACTTGCCGCCCATTTGAATAGTGGCTCAGCGCATTATTACCGATTATCAGGGAGTGGAGCAGATGCTGCCAGTGGTGCCCCTGCCCCTGCCCCTGCCACTCACTTGGAGGAGTGACGGGAGCCAAAGTGAAATACAGCCAGAAAGTGATTCTGCTTCTGCTTCTGCTCTGGGTCGACGACAACTTTTGGGATGTGTGTTTGGAGTGTGCCAGCCAGGGCCCTAACCTACTGACACAAACCCGCCCAGCATACAGGGCGAGTGAGCGAGCGAGAGGACAGTAATAGGGACAGAGAAAAAAAAGCTGGAGAGAAAACATTGAAGATGAGTGAAAGCAGCGTCGCTGCCTGTCATCTGTTGGCGCTGGCGTTGGCGTTGGCGGGTTCGTTTGCCGCCATTGGAAACTGAACGCGACGTGTTGTTGCCGTAGGACGTTGAAGGACACCAGAAGCAGCAGTAGCAGCAGCAGCATCAGCATCAGTGGCAACAGGAGAGGTGCAGGGGCGGGTGAGCGAAGCCAACACGAGCCGAAACGACCCAGCCCGACCGCCTCCGTCTGCTGGTGTTGTCCTAGTCCTGGCCGAAAGCTCTCGGCTGTGGTTCTCGTCTCCGAGCTTCGGGGGCTCGATGCTCAACGGCTCTCGCCAGCCGTCATCAGTCGAGTTTCGGCCGTCTTACTCAGCATAGGTGTGCAGCGGACAATCCACCCATCCACACAGCAGGCAGTCAGCGCAGTAGCAGCACATCCAGCAGCAGCAGCAGCAGCAGTAGCAGCAGTAGCGGCCGCAGACAGAACTGACAGGAGAGTTCAGCCGAATCATACAACAAAAAAATAATTAAATTCACACTGAAGCGCACACACACACCACACACTCTGCTGCCTCTGCCTCTGTCACCATAACTTCTACTTCTACTTCAACTGAATCTGTATCCGTATCCGTATTTGTATATGCAACTGCAACAGCAACTTGCCACCTGCATCGCATCTCATCGCATCGCATCGCATCCCAATGTGCAACTGCCAGTGACTGTGACTGGGCCTGGCACTGCCACTGACCAACAATCCAACCAACAAACCAACTGATAGACTCGCTGAGTGACAGGCGACCATCCGTATCCATTACATGCCCATCCAGTGTCGCTTGCACTCCGTGTTTGCTGTCAGTTCGCCGGACACGGATGTGGAGGCCCATTACTATCATCATCAGCAGTCAGAGTAGCATTCAGCAGCAGCATTCAGCAGCAGCAGTCTGAGCAGCGGAAACAGCAGAAAATCAGGCAACAACCGAAAGCCCAAAAAAGGACAAAAATTGGGAATCTAATTAGCAATGTCAATGTCAGAACTGTGCTAATCCATTAATTTCGAACCGTCAAACAGAAGCCTTGTGAGAATATATAGAAAAAAGAGGCGTTGCTCCTCGCCTCTCCGCTTCACGGCAAAATCCAATCCCAACATCAACAGCGGCAGCAAAAAAACACGTCAAAAATTGGAGAGCGAAACCAAAGAAAAAAGTGTTTTTGGCCAAAAAGGAAAGCGAAAGCAGCAAACACACTTTTGTTTCTGTATGCCCGTGACTGTCGGTGGCTTTGTATCTGTATCTGTATATGTGCCTGTGACTCTGTGCCTGTGTGACTCCGTGCCTGTGTGACTCTGTGCCTGTGTGTGTCTGTGTGCCTGTGTGCCTGTGTGTTGGTAAATTCTGATAACGCGCGCCTGGTGCTGACATCACTTTCGCTACTGCTATTCCATTGAACCAATAACCGCCCCCATACCCATTATCATACCACGACCCAACCCAACCCAACCCACCGACCCGAGAAGCTGCCAATCGAAAGACCACAAAATCAATTAAACTACAACAAAGCTGCCAAGAGCCAATTATACGAAACGGAACGGGTAAACGGAAACGAAAAAGGAAGAGAAACGGAAACGGAAACGAAAGGAAAGGGAAAGAAAAAGGAAGCGATCTAAGTAAGATGTTCTCCATGTGCACAAAGGTAAAGTCGGAGAGCGTGGAGCCGGACTGCTCGTTCATGCAGCATCCCCAGCAGATGCAGCTGCAACAGCCTCAGGCCATGGGTAAGTACACACACACACATGGATACAGGTGAGATGGGGCCATTGGGTTGGGAGAAAGTGAAACTGAAACTGAAACCGAAAGCAAAACCAACCAAAACCGATGCTGGGATTCTGGATGCTGCTGTGTTGCCACAGCCCCGAAAAGCAGCCGACGCTGTGGCCTCATTTGGCGGAAAACCCTGAACTCGTTTTTCCTGGCTGCTGCCCTGGCTACTGGGGCTGCCTGCCTGCTGCTTATTTTTCTCAATGAATTCGCACACAGGCGCAGCTGCGAGTCTGTCTGCCTCTGCCACTCAGTCTCTCTCTCTCTCTCTTACTCTGTCCCTCCCACCCATCTCTTTCTGTCTCTCTGTGTTTGCACCCCTCTCCCGCATGCTTCGGACCCATTGTTGACCTGCTCGTTATGGGGCACATACACACACACCGCTCCACATATCAAGCGGAATCCGGAATGCGGTTTCATTATGTTGCAATTGTAGACAGTGCCACGCCCATTGGCCAGTACGTGTACATATATGCACTGCATTAAATCATTAAGCTCGTATCCGAATACGTATACGTATACGCAACACCACCTCTCAGCATCAGCTTCAGTTTCAGTACCTGTGTGATCTGTGTGCCTGTGTGCTTGTGTGTGTGTATCTGGGAGTGTGCCTGAAATTCCAGCCCGTGCAACGATGACAGCCTGCTTCAGGCCACAGCTTGCAACGAGCCACATGCATAAATCATGCAACTTCTGTACGGGTAAAGCAGCCCTTCCACACTTCAAGCCCACAGCCCACACCCCACACCCATCTAGGTTCCCCGCCAATCCCCCAGCCAACAATTATGTCTGTACACGTACGCCATCGTTTTAGTTGTCGTTGCCTTCGCTTGCTTCGCTTTGGCAGAGAACGTTGTCTGTTGCAGCCACTTGCAATTCTAGCTGATTTGTCATATGGATGTGCATGGGGATGTGCAATGTGCAATGTGGGCGTTACTGTGGCTGTGTGCGTGCACTCAAGTGGCACACATGATGTCCGTTGCCGTCTTATACAAGCGGCACGGCACAGTGTCCTTCGGCATGGCTGTCGACACTACGACTCTATAATCTATCGCCGTTGTCTGCCTTTCGGTTCGTTGCTAACTTCGGCGAGGCAGCGAGGGGAGGAGCAGAACCATGCCACCTCCTCGAGCGCTCGTTTTCCAAATGCTGTGTCAGCTCAATCGCATCAGTCGCCAGACTGCATGCAGCAAGCTGCTGAATCAACTATCTCTAGGGCTTGCGCTCAAGTGGTGCAACGAGCAGCTGATTCACTGCCAAGTATTCCAAGAGGTTCTTCAAGATCCGCAATTACGAGTATTCCTACGTTTCAATGTGCCAAACTGATTGACTTTGCACTGGAAATTAAGTTCCTTCCAGCCCACTGGCCCACTTGAGCACTGGCTAAGTCTCGTGCGATTGCATCTGCAATATGATTTCAGATCAAGTATACGCAGGGAGTAGCAGAAGCGTCTTTAATAAAATAATTAATTCAGTCCGCCGCAAGTGTCATGTTTGTCACTCACTGCCCATATATATACTATATATTATATATGTATGTATGTACATTATATATGTGTGCATACGCCCACTCTGCACTCTAGCACTCGTCCAAATAAATGGGATGCCAGTGGTAATGAATTTGAAATGCGAGACCCGACAGACGGCCAGTCTCAAGCGACAGTGGCTGTGGCAGTGCAACTGCAACTGGGGTAGGGGAGGTGGCAGTTTGAGTGCCACCAGCCACAACACCTGCCACACCTGGCCGTCTGATTGAGTTGATTCCGGGGGAATTGCTAAATGAAATTTCGTGTTACATTTCGTTTTTCGTGCTCAACCTCAGCCCCAACCTCCCTCAGCCTCAGCTGCTCTGGTTCCTGTTACATCTGAAATTTGCAGCTCCAGTGGCCAAGGGGCGGGGTGTTTCTCCGTTGGCAGTGTGTGGGCGACATAATCTCAGCTTTCGGTTGAAATCGAACGAATGGGAAATGGACTCCAGCTTCCGTTGCAGGGGCAACCTCCTGTTCAATTAGGCGCAACGGATGTGGACTAGATGAGCTTCGCTTTGCGTGACTGCGTATAGCTACTATATCCGATCTATACCTATGCACGGCATTTATTTCCTTTCTCTCTCTCTCTCTCTGTGTTTATTTTTGTGCAGGAACTGGCGGGAAACAGATCAAGGGCGGCTACCTACTGCGCTACAAAAGTAAGTACACACGAAAATTAATCCAGGCGGGAGTTACCTCACCTGTTAGGCTGTGGCCAGAGGCTGGGGCATTGCAGTGCCAAACAATGCAGCGACATGACCTTGAGTGGACCATTTCAAGCGGAGATGAGCCGGGTCTCAGACAGACCAGACAGACCCGACAGACCGACCGACCGACAGAGCTATTAGCACAGTCAGCAGCCCCAGCTCAGGCGACAATCTGTCAACTCAGCACAAACGTTCGCCTGAAAGCCTGACTCGGAATGACGCAGCATCCGCCCGGACCCATAGCCAGATAGATGCCAACAGCCTGCACAGAGTACGAATACGAATATGAGTGGGTGTGGGTGTGGGTGTGGATGTCGCTATGGCTGTGGGCATAATCTTTTCGGGGCCACATTCAAGTGTAATTACTCATGATTCGGCTGGGCTGAGGATGTGTCATTGTCTGGCTCGTTAGGGGCAGCATTGAGTATCACGGCTGCAGCAATTTGTGCTGAGCTTAGGCCACAGATTTGAGGATGATCCGCATCCGCACTCACGCTAGTTCTCCTGCATTGACAGAGCAAATGTTCTGGAACCGCTGGTCCGAGGAGTGGGTCGTGCTCTACGATGACTCAACGATGGCCTGGTTCACGGAGCCGGGACGCACCTCGCCCTCGGGCAAGATCCTAGTGAAAGAAGCGCCCGAAATGCTGGCCATTGCGCACTGGACTGGCCAGATACCGCGCCGACCGCCGCTACCAGATGGCGTCAATGTCTCCCAGTTGATTGCCCTGGGATCGCAGCGGAAACGGTCCAAGGTCTACTGGATGCTGGCCAAATCCGAGCAGGAGGTGAGCGACTGGATAGATGCGATTACAAAGACCCTGCCGCCGCCGCCCCAAATCGAGCTGGTGGTGGACAAGCCGCATCTGATGAACGTGCTGCGACGTCCGTTGGTGCGCATTAGACGTGAGTATATATGGCCTAATCCATTCATAAGTCCAAGTGCAAATCCCCTGCCCATGCCTGCTGCCATGCTGCTGCCATACTGCCCTGTCCTGTCCCGTTCACAGCTGCCACCCAGTCGGAGGTGAAGCATCGCAAGGCCGCGGCCCATAGCAGCAGCAGCAGCAAGCATCATCGGTGCACCTCGTCGACGATGACCACCCGGCTGTACAAACAGATCCAGAATCCACTGGTCAAGAGTGATGCGGCCGTCGCCATTCTCAGCAAGAAGCCGGACTCGAAGGCCTCGCTGGCCTGCGCCCTGCCCTGGGGCCATGGCTGGGGCTGGGCCACATTGCCGAATGGCGTTTGGAGCGGCGGGCTGACCTGGTCGCAGTGCGAGGACACCTTCACGCTGCACGCACTGCCCACCACCCACTGCACCAATCTGATCGACACCTCATGCAGCGGCGCCGTCTACCACACCGACATTGGGGGCTTTGACTTCCACTCCGGCGGAGTGGATGACATTGGCGGCGAGGACTTTGACTATGCCATGGACTGTGGTGATTTCATATTTTAAACTCCCTCCATGCGACCCAAAGCACACACTACCCCCTACCCCCTACACCCCCTCATACAAACATACATGCCACACATCTGTGTGGACTTGCCACTGGAACACTCGCAACTGGTAATCGCTTCGATAGTTGGTACGTGTGCTTAGATGTGTCTTTGTGTCATAGATGTTGCTACATACATCTGTAATAGGAATAGACAGGCATGGCATGGACAGGATGCCGAATAGGTAGGAGGGTATTGGGTATCCAATACCGCGGTATCCAACATTACATTACGTATACGCCTCATTATCCGTTACTGTAACTGTAACTGTAACTGTGTGCCCCTGTAGCTTTGGTGTATCTGTTTCCTGTGTTCTGTGTGCTAATCGCGTTAAGCAGTTAGACTGAAACCGAGCGTAATGCGAACGTAATGCATGCATTTCCCAAACATAACAAATTGTGCGGAATTTTCCCCATTTCACTCGTGCTGCTGGGCATTGGCAAACTATTATAAAGATACGTATGTAGATGTAGATGTGTGTGTGGGTGCAGTGCATGTCAGACTACTGGATAAACAACACATAAGCACACACACATATACATATGCATATGCATACATATACATATAAGCAGCAACCGCACTTTCGCCCTAACCACCCACCCACCCAAGCCACACTCGGCAATCGCATTCGCATTCGCAATCGCAACCGTAACCGCAAAAGCATTTGAAATGCGAAAATATTTTTGCATCGCGCATATACTCGTATTCGTACTCGTATTCGTACTCGTATTGTATGTAAGTAGGCTACAAAATATTTTTGCACTCGAGGGGCAAACAAATTACAATAAATAATAAATAATGCATGTCGAGAGGAGACAACAGAGAAGGGGGCAGCATAACCAGGATGCAAATGCAAATGAAAATGGAAAATGGAAAACGAAACTCACACATGGAAATACTTTTGGGTATTTGGAAAACTTTTGAAATTTATATATTGATGCAATTTGTATGGAAACACTTTTTCAAATTGTTTTGCCATGATTTTCTAGAATTTTTGTAATCAATAGTATTTTTAACCGCAAACACAGATTTACTACACACAACCCACTACCCGGAACCCAATCCAATCCAAGCCAATCCTCCTCCCGCCGCCGCCGCCGCCTCCATCATCAGCCAAACCAGCCACCCACCCACCAAAAATTCCCCAGGGCAAAAACCATTTTTGTGTGCAAATTTTTGACAAATTTATACAGATACTCGTACTCGCACGCCGCAAGTACATAATAATTCGATAGAAAAAAACTTAATGGAAAACCAAACAGAGTAACATAGGTAGACGGAAATTTTTATATATACAACATATGGGATATATATGTATGTTAAATGATGAGATTCCGTACAGTAAACAGGAAAACCAGGTAACTAACAAGTAAATAAATAAAGGTATAGGGCTACAGAAACCCACACTAGATGTAAGCACTCACACAGTCTCACCCAGTCGGAACCCAACCCTGCCGCACTGGAACCCATTCCTTGTTGGACAGAGGCATACGAATCGAATACGAATGTCAGTTAAGTTTACAAAACTAACTCGAACACACACACACACAGACACACACACACAAAAGATCGACATACCCACCCGTACTGATGTAAAGTTTATAAAACAAAATGAAACAACAAAAGACAAGTTAGCAACCCAGGTAAATCACAATGTATTAGGATACCAAAGATAAAGATGCAGACATGCGAGAGTATGTGCTATATACTTACACTCATAGAACGTAGTCTAAGTAGTTAAGGACAAATCACAGATACACAGATCTATCATTGTCACATACACATACTACATACAGCTGTATGTGTGCCCATATTCGTATGGGTACTCGTATAAGGCACTCTCGACCCCTCCACTGTCATTCGCAATCGCATTCTCATTCTCATTCTGATATTAATTCGAATTTGAATTTTGATTTTGAAAAACTTTACGAACAATTTTGTGCGCCCATGCGCCAGAATATGACAAAGAGAAAACGCCGCTACGGACACCTTGAATTAACTGTACGTTAGGTATATAGAATGTTAGCTTAAGTTGGATGTTTGTTACGATTGTTAAGACAAAAACAACAACAACAACAAAATGTCTATATACATATATACAATTTGCATGTGTGTCTATTTGTAAGTTTATGCAGATTTTTCAAAATGTTGCATGCCGCGAACATGCACAAGGCTACAACATATGTATGTATAGTGTGTAGTGCAGTAAATTAATTTGTAAAATAAATTACGGGTAAGAGGACAAATGAAAATTAATTTGTCCTCTGCACATCTGTTGCATGTGTGTCAGCTACTCGAACGAGTATACATATGTAAGTGCATATTGATGGCTATATATTTTTATGTACAACAATAACCAAGAGCAAAGAGCTGCATGCAACGGAAACAGAAACAGAAACCTTTAAAGTTTAAACCTTTAAACCTGAGCCTACTACAGCCTTAGCCTTAACAGAACACAGCCCACTCACACCTACTCGTACACACATGCCTAATCGTTGTTATATGTATACATAGAGCCGCGCACATAAGCGTTTGTATTTATGTCTGTGTACAATACCTAATAGCTATAGTCGGGGATAACCAACCAACCAACCAAACCGTTCGTTAGGAGTTAAATACGTGGCGAGAGGCGAGAGGCGAGAGATAACCCACGCAAACGCAGGCAGCGTAACTTAAGAGTACTCTAAGTAAATGTAGACTAAAAGACTTAAGCAATTGTCGTTTAGACGTTAAATTAGAGCGCATTGAATGTTGGCTTATAGTTGTAGATAATGAAACGAAGCGATTCGAGAGCGATGTGCGGAGCATACACAAACACACACACATAACACACATAAACCTATATATATATATATATATATATAGGGAATATCTTAACCAGAATGTTTTAGTCTGAAGCCTAGTCCGAATAAAATGAAAATGAAATTTGTAAGAGAGTGCGAGGGAGTATACCTCTACATACATACATAAATACATGCACACATGCATACATCAATAAGGTTTATGGCGATGGAATGTAATAGCATAGAATGGAAAAAACTAAAACCTAATGAAACAAAATTTAAAACGAAACAAAAATAGAATAGAAGTAAAACAAACCTTGGACAATCACGCATACGCATGTAGGAAAAACTGGATTAAATAATGTATGTAAATTGTTAAAGCTTCGATGAATGTGGTTAACTCGAACTCGAACTCGAAGCAGGAACTGGCCAACTGGCAGGCGTCCATCGCCCTGGCCTGGTTTGGCCTGTGTGTAATAAATAGTCTTAGCACGTCCACAAATGGAGTTGACTCCAGACTCCATGAACTTAACTTATCTAACTCGAATACGAATACGAAAAAGAGTTCGATTGAAGCCATGTCAATCTGCCCACCCCAACCCACTACCCCACGCTCAGTTCAGTTATACTACCAAGAAGTATTTTTATAAAGTTTATTGTAAACGATGATGAAAAAAAAAACCAACAGCATAACATACATACATACATACATACACAGTGTATGTGTGTGTGTGTTTTAAAACATCAACAAACATGAGTATACTTTAGATGCAAATTTTTGTAGAATAATTGTACACGTAAAATGCATTTCCGATGTTAGTCGTAGTATGCATACATACATACATACATATGTACATATATGTATGTGCGAGTATTTGTTAATGTAAACCAAGCAACCGAAATATGTTTGTATGTGTACTGTAGCCATTTTTATTGTGCTGCGCATTTAGGCAGGCAGCGAGGAGGTGGCAGTGGCAGGACTGCACCTTCAGTGGACTAGAAAACTATGAAAACTGTAGAAAAATCAAACCAAGAATTGGTGGCAAGTCGTTGTGAATGATCCCTGAGATTCGTGAGATAAAGGAAAATATATAGAAAGAAAGAGAGAGAGAGAGAGAGCGTGCAAGGGGGACATACCGGAAGCAGGCACATATTGCGAAATTACGTATACGCCCGATATGCGTGCGGCTTTGTCCATCCCCCGCCCACGGCTCACATATACCCGTAACTTACGATTAAGCTAGCAAGTTCGTTGTTTGTTACCAAATTGTCGTCAGTTGTCAGTGTCGTTGATGTTGATGTTGAAGTTGAAGTTGATGTTGATGTTGCCGTGTCATTGTTAAATGTATTCCAATTTGTAATCCGTGCTCGGGCTTGCAGCGCTTGCTCGCAGTTTTCGGCCAGAGAGTAGAGGAGTAAAGCCAGCGCGATGGTTATTAGTGACTTAAGCAGCAGCAGACTATACAAATTATACAACAGAGGAGAGCATACACACATGCATGCATGCATGCATGCATGCATATATACATACATTAAATAGGTGTGCATATTATATACATATTCACACACATAGCCAAATGTGCATTGGAGTAAGGAAAATAATCAACCAAAAAATTGAACCCAAAACCGAAGGCAACCCAATCGAAATAAGAACTAAGAACGACTAAATCGTACTATGAATGTAACAAAATGATAAAAAGAAAGACCCTGCCAAAGGCTCCCGCCAAAGCCCTCTCCCACCCGCCTTCCCTCTCCCACCCGCCTTCCCTCTCTTCTCCCCGAACTTTGGCAATGGTCGCTCTCGAACCGTAATTAGCGAAGTAAATATGTAATTCAATTGATGTGTATCGTATGTGTATACTCGTATGTGTCTATAAATATTTGGTAGACGTTCCACGTTCACTCGCATGACGCCGCAAAAAAGCTCAACCCCAAAACGAAACGAAACAAAAGAAAACACTTCAAAAGCCCAGAAGAGAAAGATCTGCTCGAAACGAACTCCCAATAACTTCCCCTTTGTTTGGTGCAGGTTCACCACAATCCAAATCCAATCCAAATCCAAATCGAAGAGCAAGTGCAAGTGCCAGCAGAGACATTTGGCATACCCAAATAAATAAGAGAGAGTGGCTGGCAGTTAGAAGAGCGCAAGTGGTAGCCCGAAACTAAAAAGAAGAAGAAACGAACGCTCTTATATGGTTTCAAGACCGCACAGGCCCCCTACCCACCCGCACCCAAGCACACCAAAACGAAAATGAATGAACATTTATGATTGTACTATGTATTACGAAAACAATGAGCAAATAGACGCTAAGCTAAGCAAACAGCCAAAGAAGTCATCAACTGAATCGGAGCCCGTTGCAATTGCCGAATTTTGGAATACCCTAACAGAAACCATTTTTGTATGTATTTTCCATGTGAAATGAAATGTTTCCAAATTGTCGTCACATCGCAAAACTTTGTAAGAATTTTTGTATCAAATTAATTTGTTATTCAATTGCCGGGATCTTTGATGGATGTGTTGGATGGCTTTGATTAATTATGGTTTCGGCAAGCGCTGAGAGACAGAGACCACAAAGAGGGAGCTCTATAAATACACCTTACGCGGGGGGGGGGGCTTCGATTCGATGGATGACTTCAGACAGGGGAGGGCAGGCAGGCTAGTGAGCAAATCAAGATGTGGTTGATGGAGAGCGATGGAGTGGCGGATAGCAGCTGCGAAGCGTCAGCGTTGATAAATGTAAAACAACAACAAACAAAAGCAAATAAAGATTAGCAACAACAACTGAGAGAACGAAAACAACAGAACAGCAATTTAGCGAAAAATATTCACTTGTTTCTCTTCGTGCTGCGAATCACGCAAATACATACATACATATGTACATATGTACATGTGTATGTTGGTTGGGGGGGGGGGATTGGCGGCCTGGTCAGTGGGAGTGTGGTGCTGCGGATTGGTGAAGCTCCGACACGCCACACCATCATCGCTGCGCAGATCAGTTGGCGGTTGCAACGCTCCCTCGATGTCGCCAACTTCGCAACTTGTTCGGGCCTGGCCTGGCCTGGCCTGGCCGGTCTGGCCATCCGAATTGAAATCGGATTCGGATTCGGAATCTTGTCTCAGTTAGCGCGCAAACTTCTAAGCAAACAGTCGAGCCAAGCCGGCGGCCGTGCGAGGCAATCCTCTTTAAAATTCAAATCCACTCGAGTGGGCCAACGAGGCGGCGTACGCGTAATTACTGTCAGCAGCTGGCCATTTACCCCAGACACGGTTCGTCCCTGTTCGTCGCTGTCCTGTACCGTCCCTTCGTCGGTGACCCACTTCTTGAGGTCTGGCTCTAAAGTTTATTTATCGCCCTGCCCCTCGCTGGTGTGTCAACACACTCGCGTGTCTTCTGGCCAGGCCAACAGCCGACTCTGTCCAGCCAGTGGCCACATACCAGCCGGTAGTAGGTAAGTATTTCGGCTATAGCTGGCAGAGTGTATGGTATGCAAATCGCAGCTCCGAGCACACAGACAGAGCAAACAGAGCCGAGAGTTGGAATTAGTCAGCGCGAGCGGCGACGTGTGCCAAAAAGCAGAAATATACATAAATTAATTGTGAGCCAAGTGGCAGAGGGGAGCAGCACATGTATGTAGATGTGTGTGGGAGGCAATGGTGACGGGTTTTATACCCTGAAATCCAATGAAATTCCATCACTAAATGTCACTTGTCGGCTGCCCCACCCAGCTGGCTTTGCTCGACAGGTTTTGCATTCAAAAATTATCATTTAATAAATAGCTTCGGCTGAATATTCCCATAAAGTTATATATTGTTAAATTTCAAACGTTAATGCTACCCTACTTTGAGTTGTTTTTGGACGAATATTTGGAATTAGTTATAATCATTCATTGGAGTTTACACGTTTTTGGTTGGCGCATTCATTCATTGCTTTGAATTCAATTCGATTCAATTGGAGTGTTCATTGGACGAGCCATATTCGGTGTGGCCATCGGCCCACAATTGTGAGTCTGAGCTGGGTCTGGCTCTGGGTCTGGAACTGCGACTGGGTCTGGTCGCCCACGCACTGCAATATCAACGATCTGTGCGACTGTTTGCACCCTGTTTCCATTCACGCCTCCTGCCGTACTTTTATTGCCGATCATAATTTTCCTATATTTTGCTTTTGTTTTTTTTGCAGGCAGAGCGACAACCTCGCATGACTCATCGGTCTAAGCGGTCTAAGCCGGGTCTACGTTCAAGCGGCTTACTCGCGTCATCGCCTTGTCTGTTGCCCACTCACCACCACCACCAATCGCCGTCGAATCGCATCGAATCCATCCAATAGAGTCCGTCCCCCGACTGATCTCGACTATATTTGGCTATGTCGTCAAACGGTTCCGGAGAGGTTCCGCTGCGACCCTCAAAGCTGGGCGATATGCGGGTAAGAGTTAATGATAGACCAATCTCGTTAGAGGAAGTGTGTGTGCCACATACATCCCCGTCCCGGCCACTTGTGCAGAGTAATTTGCTGCCAGAATTAGCTAAACCAACCATTTGGCAATGATCTTGATTGTGCCACATCTTCGTTCAATTTCCGTGACGGTTCCAAAAATGGTTTGAGTTGTGTGTTTGGCGGAGTTCTAATTCGTATTTTGGGATTCGCTTCTCTCGCTGAAGTTTCCCAGCGCAAAGCCAGCCAATTAAGTTAGTGCCTCGCCATATTTGGGAATGGGTCTCGTCTCGTCTCTTGACACGACACAATGCCATCTGTTGATGACATACACTTGGGGGCGTAGGTGGCACTAGAATTGTAAAGCCAAGGGGAGGAATACGTCTCTGTCCTGCGAGCCCTTCAATAACCATAAAGGGTTGACATTAAACACACTCAACCACACAAACAGCATGGCAAAGGAACAACAATCCATCAATCAATTTATTTACCTTGGAAAATTGGTCGAGCGCGCGCGATTTTAATCGCTGATTGGAACGGTCCCCTCCCCGTGGGTGGTAAAGTCCTTTGTCACCTGAGCTGCGCTGAGCTGAGCGCTTCCTTTGTTGCATTCAACAAATGCCGAACTGGCTTGCTCTCTCTCTCTCTCTCTCCCTGTCTGTCTGTCTGTCTCTTTCTCCCATTGAATATATGTGTGTGTGTGTGTGTGTACCTGTGTGCGCCCTGAGCCACATGAGCCATGGCAACCACAAGCCTGGTGGCAGCCGTTGCAGCCATTGATTTTTGTTGTTGTTGCTATTGGCATGCAGCAACAACAGCAGCAGCGAGGAGGAGCAGTGGAGGCGAGGCGAGGCGCAGGCTAAACAAAAGGACAGCAGGAGGCTAGAATTTCTCAAGTGTCCGATACACAAAAGACTCGCTCTCTATTATTCGCCGATTCCTTTTACGATTGGCAGCAGAAGCAGCAGCAGCAGCAGCGGCAGGTGGCCATGGCCGGTCGCTTCCGAAGGCCACCACTACAAGCAGTTAACCAGAGGAATACAGCAACAGCTTTATCTATAGCTAAAGCTAGAGGGAAATACGAGTAGCAGAAGGCGGAGGGAGGAGCATGCCCGCACCCACTACAACCCCCAGCCCCGGTCACTATTTTGGCCCACCAGCGACGGACAAAGTTACCTTTGCCCAGGCGGGTCGTGTGGCACGGGGTTTTATGTACTGGCGGCACGTAAGTGGTGGGCACGGATTTGTGCCAAGTGGTGAAGCGGAAAGTGGGTGGGTGTGGTGTGGTGGTGCCGCATGTCGCATCGTTTGCCCCGCAGAATTGACAGGCACAGACAAACACAAAAGTACACACACACAAACAAGCCTACACATGTGCACCTAATGACTCCACTCGGGGGAAACGGACGTGCTAATGTCCACCACAGTTGACACGCGCCTCTTGGCCGAGCATGTTGCAAGCGGAGGAGTACGAAGAGACATCCTTCAACGGCAACGGGCTTGAGTCGGAATCGGAGTACTTGCAGGATCATATATTGCCCCTCAAGCTCAATGAATCCTGGGCGGCCAGGCGGTTAATGGAGGCGCTGAGTCACCTACCACCCAGCGATACCAATGGCAATGGCAACAGCAATTCGGCACCTGTAAGGCCACCAGCAGCAAAGGGGGCATGGCATCCAAAACTCCACCACACAACTAAATCTCTCTCTCTTCTCTCTTTGCTGAATTCTCATTGCAGATGCGCTTTCAGAAGGCGGAGGAGGAGCGTCGCCGAAACCTATTGACGGGTAGGCCTGGTGGCAATGGTCTAGCTACTGCTGCCCCAAGCGCTGTTTCGTCTCGGCTCGTAGGCAACGGCAAAGTGCGCCAAATGTTCGATGAACGGCGTCGCGGCGCTGGAATCGATCGAAGTAATCCACTCAAGCCGATTGGCGGTGGTGCCACCACACCGCCAGCGCAGCCCGCGCGCACCCAACCGACGGTTCAACGGCTGATCAAAGATGTCTCCGCCATGAGCCTAAAGGACAAGCCAGTCTTCAACAGACGCTTGACCAGTGATAGCAACAACAACAGCAACAAATACAATCCGGCGGGAACTGTGAGTCGCTTAAAGCCTGTGATTACGAGAAAAACGCCACCGCGTGAAGTGGAGGCAGCCAGTCGCTCCATTGCCACCACTCCGCGCAGTCCCATGCCAAAGGCAACGGCCAGAGCAAAGGCCCCGTCCAGTCGGGAGACAGCGGCAGCAAGTAGTCGCCAGTCGCCTCCACTGATCCGAAAGGTGAGTATCCCACATCCATCCCACATTGCCTTTGTTGTCCCAACAAAAATATATTCATGTTGTTCAACTTGATTCCATGTTAATCCGGTTCAGGCCGTAGCAAAATCTCCAGTCCCCAAGAAAACAATGGTGAGTCGTCGTGAGGTCGGGTGCCAAAATGGTCGCATGCTAATCAAGCACTATTCTTTGACAGAGTCAGCCGCCTCCTGAGGGTACGTCCCCGTGCCGATACTGCGGTCGCCACTTCAACACGGATCGATTGGGCAAGCACGAGGATGTCTGCCAGCGCACCATGACCACCAAGCGCAAGATTTTCGATGCCTCCAAGCAGCGTGTGGGCGGCACTGAGGCGGAGAAGTTTACCAACAAGAAGGGCAATAAGGCGGCTCGCTCACAGTCGTCGTACAGCAGTGCCGCCCAAGTGAAGGGCCTGGTTACGGGCGTAAAGAAAAGCAACTGGCGGAAGAAGCACGAGGAGTTCATACAGACGATACGATCTGCGAAGCAGGCACAGGCGCATGTGGCCCGCGGCGGCAAGCTGAGCGATCTACCGCCGCCGCCGCCGTCGGAGAATCCCGACTATATTCAGTGTCCTCACTGCGGCAGACGCTTCAACCAAACGGCTGCGGAGCGGCATATACCAAAATGTGCCACCATGATACACAACAAACCGCGTCAGAACGGACCCGTTCCCATGAAGAAGCGCTGACCCAGAGGTGGGTTCGACTATGAACATGCCCAGACGTTTACTTGTGATAAAGCAATTTTTGATGAATGAAACAATGCTGAACTTATCTTTAATCGAACTGTAGTTCGGACGGTGTTGGGTATGCCCTAGTCGGATAACACTTCGACACTGTTGTCATCTTCGAGCTGCGTCTGCTCAACAGTGGCAGTCGATCCAGCAGATGATTTTTCACGTTCGATAATGGCCTTGACGGCATCGGCTGCCTGGTTCATCTCCAGGCCCTCAAGCATATAGGCCCAGTTTTCCAGCGTGGCATCGTCATCCTCTGAGATCCAAGTGCAGAGCATTTTCGAGCAGGCAACACTGGCGGTGGGATGCTCCATTTGATAGAAGAGCAGTTCGTCATTGGAAAATCCTATCTTTTTGCCCACCTTCATCCAGGGCTCGCCAATCAGCGGTGCCACCTCCTCTATATGCTTGGCGGTAACCATCAATGACTTCTCATGGCCCGGGTCCTCTTCCACTTCCTCGACAACGGGATCTGTGTCTTCCACCTCGAGATCCTGTTCGGGCTCTGCTTCTTGCAGCGCCATAGCTGCCTCCTGCTCACTTTCCGCGGGCGTACTTTTTGCTGCCAGACCGTTGTTCTGCTCTGATGCATTGCTGGACACCGTGGTGGTTGGCTTGGGTTCCCTATCGCGTATGAGACGCTTGCGCACCTGCTCCAAATAGTCGGAAATCTTGCTAGACGGCTGCGAGGGCGAAGTGAAGAAATGGGGAGTTTGTCGGGCAAGCAAACGCAGGGCACGCCACTCGAAGGCTGGATCAATCTTATCGTGGGGCGATTCCAAATACGTTTCTAGCAGCGGCAGGAAGTTGCGCTGCTCACTTTTGCAGGCCTGCAAGTTGTCCGGCGAGTAGTTCCACAAACGGGTCAGGTTCTCGCTAAGAAAGAATTTCCCCGATTACTATTGTGGAGACCCAAGGAAGCGGGATGTACGTACTTGCCAAGGAAAAACTTGCCATTACGAGCAGCGTCACGCAGTGAATCGCCGAGTGGACGCTTTGGTCGTTTCGCGGGTGGGGGCTTGTTTTCCTCCTCGTTCGTTGGAAGGTCCTCCGGCTTCTTGAACTCTTTGCAGCCCTCGTTCTTCCAGTTGTTCCACATCTCCTCGCGCACCAGCATATGGTGAACCGTTCGGGCAAAGCGCCTGCCATATGGCGGTGTCTCCTCCAGAAGTTTGTACACACGCGGCTCTGTGTCTTTTATGAAATCAGCCTGTTCGGCTGTCAGAGTGTACGCGTCGCTGCAACAGGACACTCAAATTATTCATGTTTCTTGAGCCACGGAAATGCCGTCGCTGAAGCCTCTCACTTACCTTTTAAACTTGACGCTAACTTGAAGATACTGAAAGAGTATGAGGAACTGCACAAGGACGGCACGCCGGAAATTCGAATCGGAGAGCTGGAGTGCCAGTAGCTTCGGATTGGTTAGAAATTTGGCAAAAAAGTGATTCGCTTTGCTCACGGTGGATGCCACTGCGGCATCCACAACATCATCGTCTACATCCATCGCTTGATCAGCCTCGCTGCCGTTGTCACTGGTACTCGGACGCACGTCCTCCAGCTTGAAGCTCGCAAATGACTGCAGTATGTTCTCCGCGTGCTGCAAAGGATAATCATCAGCCATTCTAGCCATCAGATTAAGCGTCGCTTACCATGTGAAACATCTTCCACTGCGCCTTGCCGTAGCACTGATTGGGATTGCGAAAAAAGTCCTGGAGCGACCAAAATTTGCAATACAGGTCATAATCAATCTTGAGGGGGATATCCTCGGCAGTGTCCTCTAGCTCTTTATTGTCAGTGTCATCGTGATCCTTACTATCCAGTCCATACTCTGTCAAGTTGTCCAAATTGAACTCGGAGACAATGTTCAGGCCAGACCGCTCGGAGAACGGAAAGAACTTTGAGAGGAATAGCAAAATGCGTCCGCAGAAGACTGTGTTCTGAGTGCGGGACAGGCGTCGCAGAAGATCGTTGCACATTCGCAATATGTTATTTTTGCAAGAGGCAAAGAATATCTCCTCCTTCCAGACATCCACCAGCTCCTCCACAAACTTAAAGATCTCCTGACACCTATCCAGAGTGACTACATCGAATGTGTCTATAAGGAGCACCACGGGAATGGTGTTGGACACGATTTCAGCCCGAGTGGCTTCCACCGAGAGACGCACAAGATCACCGATCCGCTTCACGTCGTCATTTAGGCGTTTCATGAGGAGCACTCGGAATGCATGGTCCATGGGCAGACGCTTGTCGTGCTCGGAGTTGGCAGTGTAGCTGTTGTACTCCTTGACCAGCATCTCCACGCTGCTGTCCGTGATGGCCTTTTCCAAGGCATTCTGTAAATATTTGCGATTTTGTTTATTGCCGGTGTCGCTGTTTCGGCATCTTCTTCGATTCCTCACCTCAAACGCTGTTTGGAGCGCAAAGTAATTTGCTGACTTTGCCGGAAGCTTGACGGTCGCTTCTGTTGCCGTGCTCATTTCAAAATTTACAACGATTACGACCCAGAAACAATATAAAATTTATTGTTTTCACAATCAGTGTGACACTTATCAATAAAATATACCGCCTGGCACACAGAAATATACCGAAATATACCTTCTCGTTTTCATAATATACCGTAAATATACCGAGGAGAATAAACGGACTTAACACACTTAACCCCTCTAGAGTCAAACCGCGGAAAATAAGACTTTTTGGAAGTTCTCCTTAAAGCTCCATTCCTCTTACTTAATTCACAAAAAAATGACCACGATAGATTTCACCTAAAATGCGTAAAAATTTTTCAAGTTTCATAATAATCGAGCGTAAGTCGAAATCCCACTGGTCGACAATGTGTTAAGCATTCTCTGTTCATGATCGAAAATCATATTCCCCGAATTTGATATTCGATTTAATAATACAAGCTAGTTAGAACCCTCTTCACTTAAAATATAATTTTATGCAATAGATAAATACATTTTCTACAAGATTGGTTATTTTTGAGAACTCATTTTTGTGTGATTTTTAAGAAAATAAGGTTTAGACAGAAAAGGTAAACAAAAATGACCACTAATTTAATTTTGCTACGTCAAGGAAAGGCCAAACTGGTTCTTATCGCCATCCAAACGGCCGCCCTGAGGAAATCCGAGGCGGAGTATAAGCCAGGACAGAGGTCAGCAAAACATTGAGCTTGGCACAGCCTGAGGTAAATACTTCCGCGTGTGCGCCATGTCCATTACCGATCATCTAAAAGTATGGGTTGACAAAAGATCTGCCACAGATCAAGTCATTTTCAGGAATACCATGATCGCTGTCTCAATGAAACTGAATTGTGTCTGCTGTAGTCGTGTATTGTTTCTCGTCTCCTGGTGGTTGCGCTCTCTATGTTATCAGTATCATTGACAATCAAAATTGACTTCGGCACATACTCGTAATTTCCCATTTAGAGCAAGGTCGCAGAATTCTCATAAGTAGGGCAAACATTTTTTCCAGCCACAATGTTATTCAGAGTCATAATCTCAAACTGTGTAGCCGCATACAGGAAGATCATGCGCTGTTCTGGCTATATCCGTCTTATTCTTCTGTGGTTTGCTTTGGGCACTGCCTACGAAGGAACAGTTTTCGGCCAGTTATATGAAGGAGGCGGCTACTACTATACACCATCCCAGCTGTCTTATCCTGGTTACCGTGGGGCCAACTATAGGCAAACGCAAGGACCAAGGCCGCAGCAACATCAGCGCTCGTATAAGGATATCTGCCGGTTGGTCAATACAAATGGATTCACTAATCCGGGCGGAGTGCCCAGGTGTCCGTATTAGCACGAGTACATTTATAAAAAGTAATTTACATTTTCAATTTGGAAATTTGACTAAGATCAATAAACTAAGAGCAAATAGCGCTTAATTAGGTTCCTAACAGTAGGGTGCTTAGGCTAGAAACAAACTTTACATTGTGATTACAAATTCATAGCTTTAGAGGCGCCATATGGCCTGTTGTTTACATGAACTATTCCCTAAACGACAAAGCGAAACTCTTAAGTTACACACCGAATCGTGTTCCTAACTAAAACAGACGCTTTTGAACAATGTAAAAGACACAAACAAGGAACAGACAAAATGCAAAGAATACCAGCATCTTGTCGGTGCATTCGCGTCTACCGTACTTTTTGAGCAGCTTTCCGGACATTTTGATGCTACCGGCTGTGTGCTGCAGCTCGTCGCTTGTTGCCTCTACATTTTGGGACGACGCTACTAGGGTCTCTAGCGTGACGGCACTTTTCTGTGTTGTCTCTGACAGATGCCGCGAAATGGCCAGCATCTTCTCGGTTACATCGTTCTCCTGCGACACCAGACTTCCCTGGTTGTGTCGCGGCCTCGCTGTGGTGCGCTGCCGCAACTCACTCTCGCCAGTGATTGCCATCAGCTCCTCTCGGTTGGCTTTCTCGATCTCCAGCATTGTCGCTACATTTGCTTTACGGAATGCCTGCAATGTTTTTGAGAACTGATCCCTATGTGTGTCTACCTCCTTGGCCAACGAGGTGTCGGCCATGTCCCGTGCCCAATCATCCAAGCGCTCGATGTTTTTGCGAATGGCCGACAGCTTTGCCCGTCCAGCTTCATTTAACTCCTCAAGCTCGACAATAGTGGTTCTACTGTTTACTATGTCCTATAATGTTGTTACAATATTAGACTTTCGAGCTCTGGTCCGTGTTTTCGTTCACCTACTCACCTACTACTCACCTGTATAATCGCCTTGGCTTGCAAATTGTTGTCGATGAGGTCTTGCCGAATGGACTGCAGCGTGAATTTATCCTTGTCCATGTCCTCGGTTCAAGCAATTTTAATTTATAATTTTTGTTTTGTTATGGTGACGTGCCGTCAGAAACTTTGCGTGTAAGCCAACACTAGTTCTATGGCGGGAGTCGGTATTTTTTTACCGAACTGGTTATTTTTTAGTGCTTTTCGTTGCCGGCAAAATAGTTAGTTACTTTAACTTCAGGTTTATTATTGACTTGAATGATTTCAATCAACCTGTTAAGTGCGTGAACGTGAATGGTGCGGGCTGCGGGCCAGGAGTCGTTATTAATATTGTTTTTACCGTCTCATATTTTTAAGTGCCGAATTAAATTCCATTCTTATTTCAGTATTCTTCTGAGGGTCGACGGTATATTTTATAGATCTGCAGTCACACTGCACTACATGGTGCCGCAAAAAGTAAAATTACTAAATTAAATTAAAAAAAAAAAAACTTGGCAGCACCGCACATCTTTCTCGTGCTAAAATATAACACTGTTCTAAAAGCGCGAGTGTCTCTTAAGTTTTGGGCCATGGCAAACTCTTCACGCTCTTTCTCGGTAAGATGACCCATGTTTGTGCGCATTACACCTATTTACATATTGTGTTCAGTAGAATTTGTCAAATCGTACGTTTTCGATTGACTTGCCATTAGATGGCATCACAGTATCCCATCACGGATCTGCCTCAATCGAAATAGACGCGTCCTTCAACGGTGCCAATTCGAATGGTAGCGAGAGCTCCACAGCAAGCTTCAGTTCCAGTTCTAGCCGCAGTAACAGCACCCGGTCCAGCTCCACTTCAACAACCGGGATCTCTAGCGCTGGGTCTACCAGACACGCCACTGGCAACATCTCGGAGAATTCCGACATGGACAGTGTGGAATATAGTGTGAGCTTCGAGGATACACAGTCTAGCCCGAATTTTTCCATCGACATATCCCAGGTGGAGGCTGAAATAGAACGCAGTATGTTTAAAGCATCTTAAACCTAAACTAAAGCAAGGGACTAATTGTCCTGCCTTTTTTAGTAAATCGCTACTGTTCGGAAGTAGTCTCCAACATTAGCTCTGATACCAGTGGGTCACGAAACTCGACACCAAGGACGGGCCGCCGTAATTTTCACTCTGTTAACAGTAAGCCAACCATTCTGCGTACTAAGGTCCTATGAAGGGCAGCAATTATAATGTTTATATTTTGCTACAGCAACACCAGTGGAGGTAATAGATTTGCTGAACGTGGACGATTCATATCGTAGAACTGCAGTTAATCGGGTACCAGAAGCAGTGATCGACTTGTGTACTCCGCACAGACCAAACATCCCAACAGCAACGATTGATTTGGATGACTCCGATATTGTCCCTACCAGTCGGCGTCGTAACCATGCTAGCTCCAGTACTCCCACTACAGCTAGGGCTGTGTCGGTTATCGACGACTGCGGTCCGTCGAGTCCGAAGCGCAAGGCCAAAGCCCAAAACGTGTCTACGGATGATGTCTACAAGTGCCCCGTTTGTTTGGAAAGCGTACGCCAACGAGAGCCATCGTCGACCAAATGTGGCCACGTTTTTTGTCGCCAGTGCATCCAAACTGCCATAAGCACCACACACAAATGTCCAATGTGTAACAAGAAATTGAGCATGCGCCAAACAACACGTATTTATTTGTAAACCATTATTTCGATATATATTACCAATTACCACCAATGCTCTGCGAGTCAGCTGGGCTTCACACTGAATTTGCATTGTTTAGTTTTAGCTCTGAAAGTAGCTTCATTATAATATGTTATAGACAGCAAACAAATGTTCGTAGTTGTCATTTTCTTAAGTTATTTTGTATTCCCTTATAATTAGATGTACTGAATAATCCAAAAAATTTCCTTTGTCGTACTCTGTGATATTTTTCTTCTTTGCGTTGGGGTTAGGGTGCACATGGACCACCAACCATCTGTACAAAGTGCTGGGTGCTGGACATGAATTACAAGCTGCCGGTTATCCCCATCAAGGGCATTTTGATTGCCAATGGGAAGTATACTCCAAGTCCGCCGGAGGAGGAAATACGGGATCTATGGATACTTTAGCCGTTTCTGAAGATGCGGATGACTGCGGTACTGGAATTCGTTGTACAATACGACCAAATAAATCAATTCTAAAGTTAGCTGTGCTAAACATTTCTTTCTGGCCACAATACTTAAGAAATCTACAACTGTGCTGTAAGTTACATTTCATTTGAACATCGCGCCTTTCTAGAGATGACAAATACTTATCAAATAGCACTCTGACAAAAGCTCTCCACTATATAATTATATATCGTTTCCGATTTGTCACTCGACAAAAGCTGAAATGTTTGAATGCGAAACATTTATGAAATTCCAAACATTTTTTCCAAAACATCAAGTTTAATGGCGGCGCACTTTTTTTTTGAGAATGAGCTATATACCGATATATATTTTGTATGATATTTATAATATATATACGATAACATGGTCAATTTTGCTCAAATATTTAAAAAAAAATCCCGGGATTCCAAACGGGATTTAAACCTAGGCCACCAGAATGGAAATTTTTAAATTTTTTCCAGATATATTATTTATATTATTAATTTACTTTTCTTTTATTTCCTTCCAAAGAGAGAGAGAAGAGAGAAAGTGACTAGACTATAGTGGAATATAATGTTGTCGTACTTTACGTACTTTATCTGCATCAAAAAAATTCAAATTAATTGATGTAACCCTCATTGGAGCTAAGTACTCATATACAAATGGAATTTCAGCATTTCCAATGCGATTCAAATGTGAACCTGTTTGTTATTGTTCTGCGGTCATAAGCCGATTATGGCTGCATCAAATCAATAAAAGCAATATCGAAATCAAATAAATCTCAAATAGCCAGCAAAAGTGTCGGGCGGGGAGACTGGAGTTTAAGGACGCTGCACGAATTGAAAAACCAATTTTATGAATTCGTATCTCTGGCACGTAATCTTTATGATGCAATCGAGTATGCAATGCTTCGCAATTAATTCTTACACTGGATCGAGGGGGACTATCATGCTACGGGACAATTCGCAAAGATTTGATCAGATAATGCCCGACTTAATTGCACGGAACTGGCCGAAATAACGGGTAGTGAGGGGGTACTGGTACCTCACCACAAAAAATTTCACCATGAGTCAACGTCCAACCCTTAGGGCAACCCCAAAATATCATATGAGGGCGTATTATTTTTGCTTACGCATCGATTGGTTTGACATCTAACTTCAATAAGGTTATCCCCCCATTGGGTAACTCCCCAAAGGCCTCCCCGTCTCCCACAAATTTTAACTAATTCAGCTTAAAGCGCTCACTCGGAAGCTGGCTCACTTAAAAGACCCGGACTCGACCCTTGGACCCATGTGTCGCCATCGTCATCGTCTGTATCTGATCCTGCTCGTGTCCCCATGTTTCTTGTCTGCTCGAGGGTTCAAAGTTGTTGCAAAACCAAAAAAAAAATATATTTTTTATTAAAATTATAATGCTTACTCAGGAATAGGCAACGGGTTGGGTTGCGGTTTTCCCTTTTTGGGGGTTCCTTGGGATTCCTGGACCAGCCGGTGCAGTTGCATATGTTGAAAGGTACACAAACAGTTCAACCCTTGACGTCCTTATCCATCCATGAAGTACTCGTATGGTGAATCCCCAACCCACAGAACTTCGATACATTCTGCACTTGAAGTTAAACTTTAGGAATATTACGATGAAAACACAGATATTCAGCTGGGATCGCAGTATTTAAAATATATGTATGCACATATATGCCCCTAATTATATAGCCATTTTCGTTTAAAAACACCATACCAAACAATTATAAAATTGCTTTATTAGCTCATGTGCTCATCGCCTGTATCGAACAGAAAGGTAATCGCGTTCTCTCCAATGTTGTTATTGCCATCGACATGCCATGGAAAATCTTTATGTGCTCTTCAGGAGGTCCTCTACGAATGAAAAACTTACATTTGTATCCGCGGTGGGGCTCGCGCTCATGCCAAAGTACCAGCGCATTGCCAGCATGTAATCGCCCGTTGGAAAGGGTAGTGTCAGAAGCTCAGGCCTCAGATAAAACCCCTTTACTATTTGAGATCCCTGGTAAGGAATTATGCAGAATGAAGTTGCATGAATATAAGATTTATAGTTTGAGGAACATACCATATACGGACATGTATGATTAACGTTGGTAAAATCTTTGAAGAGACCGTAAACTATTTTCATAATTGGGTCATACTGTTGCCTCATAAACCGACAGGCATCAACATTTCTCTCTAATAGCCAGGGCTTAAACCCGTTTGCCTTTTTGTAAAGCTTAAGGTGAATTTTCACCCTATTCGCAGGGTAAACGACAGTCGCATTCATATTGAGGATTACTTTACTTCGGCTGATTGCCTTCAAGCGACAGTTTTGCCATAGCACCCAGGATTTATTGTGGCTCTCGCAGACGACGTTCGTAAACCTGAAGATGACTGCATTCTGTAAACTTTGTCTATTAATTTATTAATTAATACTTGATTGTAATATCTTTATATTTACGTTGACGTTTAGGTTCAATATTAGAAATATTCCGATACAAGCGCAGAGCATCAGTTCGGACCGCATCCTGCTCTAGACTAACTATTGTACCCAAATTATTGCCGCATGGGGGATTCATTGAATTGATATATTCATATTAATCTTAGATTTGTTTTTTAGATAATTAGCTGTGCACAAACCTCTGCATAATTATTTTACGAATGCCTATTGGCACGGAAAAGCCCAACGAATAATAATAATAAACATGACTTAAGGTTTGATTTACATGAATATTTATTTATACTGTTATACTGTTTCTGGAGCGTTCTGTTTGTGTTCCTCATATGAATCGATAAAGCGCTTAAAATTAATTAGAAAAAGGGTAATTTGGGTAATTAGCACCACGTTGCCAGCCATGATGTACATATGTGTATAAATACATATGTACGGGCTCGTGGTAAAAATATATATAAAAAATCCAGGTTAATATTTACATACATTTGTAAAGTTAAACTTCATTTAATAGCATATATATGTATCAACTAAGTAAGAATGGTTCAAAATTGGACTTCTGAAAATATATATTCGTAGATTTAAGAATCATTTGGTCGACGGCATAAACATCTTACTTTCAATTTAAATCCAAAGGTAGTTCTATTAGTCGATAAATTGTTGGAAAATGCTTGGAAATTTATAGTTTGTATTTAGTAATCAACTTTAAGTTGTAAACTATAAATATAATGTGATTAAAGCATGGATGATTATTATATTGCTTCTGCTTTTGTTTGAAAAGTGGAACTCGTTTTCGCGCAAATCTATTTACGCATGAACGAGTCGGTAAATTGTATGTATGTACATATATACATACTTATGTACTCACATAGAAGGCGATACTTAAATATACATATATATAATTGTCCATTTGATTTAGGGAATATTTGCATTTCAGTAGATCGAATTATAATTATTTTAATAAAAATACAAACATACATTTGAAAAGGTTGAAAAACTGGGACATACATAGATACTCGTATGTTTTATTTGCTTAGCAGGAGGTCCTCTACGAAGGAAAAACTCACATTTGTATCCACAGCATTTTTGTCAAACATCCACTGCAAAGACAGCAGGTAATCGCCCGTTGGCAGGAGAAGACCCAGGAGTTCAGGTCTCAGATAAAGGTCCTTTAAAATTTGATGTCCCTTGGAAAGAAAAATACAATGTAAAGGGTGTGTTAAAATATAAAATCGATAGTTTTTGAAAAACCTACCACATACGGACATGTATGATTTATGTTGGAAAAATCCTGAAAAAGACCGTAGACTATTTTAAAATATGGATCATATCTGGTTCGCATATAGCGACAGAGATCCAACTTTCTGTCCACTGTCCAAGGTCTATAGCCGTTTGCCTTTTTGAACAGCCTGCAATGAATGCCAATGTTGTTGGTTGGGTACAATAAAGTTACATTCATATTGAGGAGAACTTTTTTTCTATTGACCGCCTTCAGGCGACAGGTGTTGAACACTGCATAAGACTTGTTGTAGCTCTCACAAACGAAGTTCGTTAACCGAAAGGTGATTGCATCCTGAAAACGTGGTTTATTAATATTCGATTAAATAAAATTTATCGAAGCCAACACTTACATTAACGTTTACTTTTAATATTAGAAAAAATCCGACTAAAGCACACAACATTAGTTGGGACCGCATTTTTCCAGCTTTTGATTGGAAATAACATTTAAAACACACTAGCATGTTCTCTTATGCCAAATCTATTTCCGCATGAACGAGTTATTTAATAGCTTATAAATTTATATACATTAAACAGAACACAAATCACTGCATAATTTGTTTTAAATAAAATATCTAGTCACCCGATTTTCAGCAGATTTTATTTTTTGGTTTAGTTGCTACTAAATCGTTACCTATAATAAAAAAAAGACTTGAAAACATTTTATAACGGGGACAAATTTTTTATTTTCTATTCTCTACGAATGAAAAATTCGCATTTCCCTTTACAAAGCGAGGTATCTGGAAAGTAATTATTAAAAATTAAGACCGAGTACTAAAAGAGTTATTGTGGAACACCTAATAATACTAATTATAATAGTCTTACCGTACATCGAAAGGGTTAGTCAAAGTTTAAAAAGGACTTGAATTTAAAATTGGGTAAATGCGTACGCAGTTCAAAGCAAGGGGTTGGATATTCTTTTTCTTTTTAGGGTTCCCTTGAACAGCTAGAACAGGGAGTACTGAGCAGTCCCCTGTAGTCTCTATCCATGCATGAATTATGGGAAATATCTTACCCAGAATTTAACCATATTACTTTAATAGCAGCGCAGTGTGTGCACAAAATGTTAATCATTGTGGGCATCATTGTGGTGGGGACATTGCAGACATTGGCGAATCATTTAATCTTTTTATTGAATTGATTCCCTTCTCAGTTGGGGTCAATCGAAGGGATTTCTGGAGACGTACTCGCATCTGGCTGGCGAACGGACATGCATAAATCTAATTTTCAATAGCCTTTGTCTGTGTATGCAAAACGACATGGGCTTTGGGCCTGTCATAACAATTCCATTAACAAGGACAGTCAGTCTGTCTGGACTGTGGCATATTTATGAGCTTAGGAAATTGAATTGAATTATTCAGAGAGCGACAAAAAAGGAGACAAGACCCAAATGCACATGGAGATTGTATCAGTGTCAGCGCCCGAGCATCAGTGTAATGGATTGGCAAGAGAGTTTCCTTCCATTTCTATTTAGAATGCCCGCCAACAGATACGATGTACTTCCTCCATCTTTTTGGCACCCAAATTGAAGTTAAATGGATTTCATTTGATTCTGTTAGGCGGCTGGGGATATCAACTAAACCAATCAACTAAATAATGGAAAACATTTTGTAAAATGCCCAAAAACCACACAAATGTAGCGGCTGTGGTGCGTCTGTCTGGCTTGGTTTGGTCTGGTTGACGCCACACGCACCATGAAGCATAATAAATCCAATTCGTATCTGGACTAGATCCCCAAAACGTATTTACAAGGGGTTGATATATATTTAAATTAACACCCAGGGGCATCGGTGGTGGGACGCAGGAATGCTTAAAACCGTTGGCATTTCGGTGGTTGAATGAAGTCCGGCAATGCCTCTTTCCTGTTGCCTTTAGTCCCGCGGCACAGCTGGTGCACATTTGGTTCTGTCTGTGGGAAAAATTTGTTGCTCGTCTTTTGACATTTAGTTTTATTTTATTTATTTTTTTCGCTGTAGATTTTCATCCGATACAAATGAAAATGGAAACTTGAGTATAACTATCATACTATTAAATTTTCTTTTGTTTTAGTTTTAAATTACATAATATTAAACTAGATGTTTACCATAGATGTTCCTCTTTGCCTTCGTTTATTTCATTCTTTGTCTGCTTGACTGCTTTCGCCTGTCCTGTTTGTTTCCCCTCTCAATTGTCTAGTTTTGTGGCTTATGGGCTCAACATGTGAATAAAAGCGTGTCCATGGGATGCAGAGTTTTGAACCAAAAATGAAATTAGCAAGTGTTCCAGGAGTTGGAGTGGGAGTGACAGAGAACGAACACCTTGGAAATGCAACCATAGTGCAGCAAGTACGTACATATAAAGTTTCACTAAACCGAACCACACATATATTATAGTATTAAATAAGGGGACTGCACATGAAGCTGGACTGCAACAATTACATGTATGGGGGCGTGTGTGTTTGTATGTGTATTTGTGGGGTGTTGGGGGAGAAATGTGATTCACATGTGGTTGAACATCGAATAATATTTGAAATGAATATTGTTTGTTTGCTTTTTGCTTTGTGGAAATGGGTTAAGTTTTGTTTAAAATGTTCTTGATTTCTGTTGATTTGATGTTGATCCGCTTTACTCCTTGCGCACTGCACGCTTACGTGTAGATTTTGTGGTAGTTTCCTATTACAAAAAGAACAAAAAATTACATTTAATTTCCAATTTAACGTATTTTAAAGCATATAGGAGAGACCCACCTCAGTCTGTGCGGGCTCATCAGAACCCTCGGCCTCCTCCGGCTTGGCCTCCTCCGGCTTGGTCTCCTCCGGCTTGGTCTCCTCCGGCTTGGTCTCAACATTATCCTCTAAATCAGACTTTTTATTCTTCTTGGGACTAGCGGACAGCGGCGTGCTTTCCTTACTGGAATCGCCAGCAGCTCTCTCAGACGATGGATCGCTCTCCTCCTCCTCTTCGGGTGCATCATCGGGCTGTGGCGCATCGGTTTTCTTTGCCTGAGCAGCAGCGCGCTTGGCAGCGTCCTTTAAACCAAAAGATTAGTATTAGCAATAAATAATAAGGAAATAAATTACAAAGACAAATAAGCAACTTTACCTCTTTCTTAGCGCCACCAAATCTACACCAAATGGTGACAAATACGAATAGCACGACAAAGACGACCAGGACAAGGCCCGCAACCACGGGATTGGCCTTGGCTAGGTCGACTACCTTATTCACGAATGAGTCCTACAAAATGGAAATGGCAAATAGCAATAGCAATAGCAATAATCGTGCACATGTGCAAAGGCAATGAATGTGTGTTTAAGTAGCGTGTGGTGTTCTGAGTAAGGACGCAGCGCCAACCTCTTTGGCGCGACGGTACAGATAGAATATGTAACAGCTGGCCGGAATCAGCAGGTATACGAAGTACAGTGCCCACCATCCAGGCTTGTAGTTCATGCGACGCATTAGGCGATGCCACAGGGTTTTCTTTCCGTTTGCGGATGGAGGCATTCGATTAGAAAATCATTCGATTTCTCTGTGTGTGTGTTGTGTGCGTGTGTATGGGGTGGAGAAGACGTGGCAGTTAACTTACCGATTCACGATCAATGTAGCGACGCTTGATATCAAAACTCATGGCTGCAAAATCACGGGCCACCGCCACATCGTCGGTGATGATCAGATTGTCGAAGAGAATGTCGCTAGACATGGACCACAGCTCCAGACCAACAGCGCTCTACGATGGAATGGAACAAGCGTGTTATTATATTGATTAAGCAAGAGAACATCCAAACCAGAGCTTACAATCGGTGTCATGCGGAAGGGCTTCAGATCTTCAAAGAAATCGGGATTGGCAATCTTGCGGGGCGACCACTTGCCCTGATAGTTGGGATTGTCAATGCTCGGTGCACGCCACTTGCCCTTGTAGTTGGGATTGGGGATGAGCGGAGCCTTCCACTTGCCACAGCCAACAGCCTTCTCACAGACGGGATTGTCCACCAGCGGTGCCTCCCATTCGCCATCAATTTCGGCATCCCAATCTTCGGGCTTGCTGGCCGTGGGATCGAATATCATGTCGGGCTCATCCTCCAGCCAGTCCTCGGGCATAACAGCATCGGGATCGGGCAGCTGGGGCGGTGCATCCTCATCCCAATCACTGGGCTTCGATGCTGTCGGATCTGGTATCTTCTCGCGCTCATCCCACGACACTGGCTTGTGGTCATTCGGGTCATCGATCTCTGCTGGCGGATTAACGGCCGGCTTAAAGTCTGTCAGGAGGGAGCCCTCGTTGACGATTTTGTGATCCACACGAATCTCGAAGCTGTTGTCAGGATGCACGACCAGCTGATACAAATGGGGCAGCTTATCCTTGAAGAGATCGTCCAGGCGGTTCCTGCAAGCGTAAAGAGAGAGAGCGAAAGTGAATGACCGATTGACCGACCGACCGAATGATGCCAGCAGCTGTTCCGCATGCCGCGGGGGTAAAAATAGACAGACAGACCCCAGTGCCGCTGCGCCAGCTTATCTCCCAGCGGCAGCAGCAACAGCAGCAAACGAACCCCCAGAAGACACACACACACACACAATATAGGACCTGGACTTACTTTGGTTTGTTGCAATGCTTCTCGGTGATGGTGCCGTTAATTGGATTGACGTGACGGAATATGAAATGCAGTTTCACATCGTTCCCGCACTTGTCCGGGCCAAACATGATGGTGTAGGGTGTCTTGTCATTGAACTACAGAGCAAACAGCATAGAAAATATGACGCATTGTGGGGGGTTGCTCGCATATGGGCGAGGGGGCGTTCACTTACTGCCTTCAGATCTTCGGTTTCCTTGCCAGCGGACAGAAGCTTGATGTACGAGCCGCCACAATCTTGACCCTCCTGCAAAAGCAAAACCAAGAAATTGGGTCAAAGAATGCGATTTAAGGTTTGGGGGTGGAACAGTAGTAACAAGTATTAATTGGATTTGTCCAGCCGTAGGCTGATGCAATCCACACACAGAATTTGCATATCTCTTTAGTCAAGAATGGACGCACCTGCAGCGTGACCTCATATTGCACCACCAGCGGTTTTTCTGCCTTAAAATCGAACTGCTTGCGAAGGCGCGCCGAAATGGCTGCATGCTTTGCCTTCGATTTGAGGACCAGTCCCTTATCCTTTGCCCAGACAATGCGTTGCGGTGACTCCCAGGCCCAGATGCCATCGTACTTGGAGATCTCCTCGGCAATGTCGTCCTTCTTGGCCTGCGAGTTCACCCACAGCTTGCGCGACTCATCAACAGTATCGAAATGGTCGGCAAAGTGGAACTTCTTTGGCTCGATCAGAGGGCTCTCGTAGACCAGCTCCTCATCGGCGCCGACAGCCTCCTCCTGCATGAAAAGACACGTTGGTGTTAGATAAGTGAAGTTGCGATAAAAAAAGATACGACCACGCGGTCGCTTAAATGTTGACACACTTCCCAGCGACAGATAATGGGCGAGGGAGGGTGGGCTCGTATAAGTTGTGCGTGAGGTTTTCCTCTGGCACATTGGGAAAATGACAGATAAATGTTAATTGGAGGGCCATAAACAGCGGGTGGCCGGCCCGGCCGCCCCCCTCAACAAACATTCTAGACGCTTCCGCCACTGACGTGTACTTTTCTCACCGGCTACCCCCGCCGGACCACACATTTCTGCGATATCACCGCCCTGCTCTCACCTGAACATCTTCGACTATGCCATCCTCAAACTCGTCGGCATCGACACCGAACTCCACATCGGCTGTCGCGGACAGTAGCATGCTGCAGGCCAGCAGCAACGCCAGCGTTGCGCTGCTCCCCCCGAATTTCCACTGCATTTTCCTTCCCGATTAGCGGCTGCTGCTGCTGGTTTTCTGTTTCAACCACCTCCCCGGCACGGAACTCGTGTTTGTGCGAATGGTAAAAACACTTTTACTCTGCTGCTTTTTTAGTGGTTTGCTGCTTGCGTTGCTTTTCACCAATTCCCTCTAACTGCGGGCGCTGCGGAAAAACGAGAATCGAAATCTAGCACAACGAACTAATTGAAATTAAGCCAAATTAAATTATACTTTGCTTCTTTCTCGCCTACTTGGACCGCTTATCGAAGAAATATACCGAAATATACCTTCCTATTTTCAAAATATACCGTGAAAATACCGATGAATAAATCGATCTTAACCCACTTGGCCCCCTCTTGTTAAAAGGGTGAACAGCATGAGTCATACCGTGGAAAACAATACCATATGTAAAGGCTCCTTGTAGCTCCATCCTCCTCTTTACTCACAAAACAAAAATGACCACCGACATCTTTCACCTGTAATGCGTATTTTAAAGTTACATAAATTTTGTAGAAATATTAAATACCCCCCTGGTCGACAATGGGTTAACGTTGTATTTTATTGATTGATACCATATTCCATTAATTTGATATTCAGTTTAATATTACTAGCTAGTTGGCCATCTCAGCCCTAAACATATAATTTTATCCGATAGATATATCAATTTTCTACAAGATTGGGTAGTTTTCAGAACTATTTTTCATTGGATTGTTTACATAATAAGGTTCAACCAAAAACGGCCAAAGCATAAAACGTAATGTTGACTAAATGTGACGTCAGTGTTGCTGATCAACCAAGTTTCTTCTATGCGTATGGCTTTGGTTTACCATATTTCCTTTAATTAATGTTAAATTTGTTGTTCCAGGCTCCATTGAAACATTAATTATGATTTTATTGTAGATTGACATGTTTTTTACTCAGCACTAAAAATATAATTGTAGTCAATATATGAATTAATTTTTTACAAGATCGATGATACATATTTCTTACTCAATTATTTATAAAACTTATTTAATGAACAACTTCCATAAAACGGCAATCATTTAAGCTCTTTGATATTTGATAAAGTGTTGCTTGTTGGCGCGTCGATTTGATCTCGTATATGACACTTGAGCATGTCCTTCTTGCGATCTTCGATAAATAGGAAGCCATCTTGATCAATGTATCCTAAATCTCCGGTGTGGAACCACTTGTGAGAGTCGCGAATTCTACGCGTCTTCTGTGGCTTTCCATAATAATAATCAGCTTCGGATGGCTTTCCATCTCCCTGAAGATGATCTCCCCAATTGAAAGGTGCGATGGGAAAAAGTTTGATCTTACGTCCCCACGTCAGATCCTGAGATTTGCATCATAGTTGATTTCCGGCTTGTACGACATTCTTCTATCAGTTCTTGTATGTTTAATCAACTGCTGGTGGTTCGTATCTGTTGACTTTCTTATATAGAAGCGAGCACACGGATTTTCTATTTGGTGCATACAAACGATAGGCACGACATCAAAGGATAAGCATAAACAGCGTTGATAAACTCAAACAACAATTAGACTCTTGAAATTGAACCATTAAACTTATAACTTTTCTTTATGCGGTGGGTAGAGGGGAATGAGAGCAAGAGGATCTGTTCTGGAAGAATACTGGACAGTATGTATTTTCGAATGTGTTCAATATTGAGCATTTTTTTAGATTTTGTATAAGTAACGAGCATTTGTTAGATTAGTAAAATTGTATAATACTTTCAGCCTTGATTAAAAAACGTAAAAGGGGCTAGAGTTTGTAGATTAAAATAAATTTACCTGTTTAGTGGTTGTTGTAAAAAAGTGAATACTCGTTTATCTCTGCCCTGCTACCCATATATCATTGATAGAATGAATTGCCTCCTCTCATTAGAAAACCAATAAATTGCAGCATATCAAATTTAAATAAAATAAAGTAAAAAAGTGTACTTGCATGTTGGCAATTATTTTAAAAGCTTGCCGACTCAATTAATGCTCTGTCATGGAAGTTGCTAAGCCCCGCAATAAACTTGATGGGAACCGAGCGGGTTGGTTTGGGTTGGGTTCGGCTCGGCTCGGTTAGCAAAAGTTTACCGCTTCTATACCATAGCATCGGTGCCACAACTGACAGTTTCTGTTGTACCTACAACAAACATTTGTTTGCAACTGCATACAAAAAGCTTTCTGTTTAATGGAATATTTAACACAATTTAAAAAGTTATTTTCTTTTTTTTTCTAAAGACAAACAGAGACTCGGAAGCACACACACACGCATGCCAAAAGGGCTGAGCGGGCGTGGAGGTGGGTTGCATTGCAGTAGCCCGAGAAGAGAGAACTTTTGTGGAGCCTTGGACGTGCCGCAGGGCTGGAGAGAGAACTACACTAGTGCTCAACACACACACACACATGGGTTTTTTTATGGAAATTATGTAATGACAGTTAATGAGGGTACTACATAAACAGGCTCGCAAACACCCAAACCCCATACACCCAGTCTCCAACCGCCCGTACTGCACCCGCGTACTGCACCTGTGCATAATCATCTGGCTGTGACTGGGGGGGCTGTGTGCTGGGGCCAGTGTTGTCAAGTGTTCTATTAGCTCAAGTAACAACAACGAGGGCAGCTTACCAACACTTGTGCTGAATTTTTGTGCTGATGCTGTTGTGCGATGCACCAGAAAAGGAAACTGCAAAAATTAAGCTAACTAAAAGAAATGTGAGGTTGCAGGAAGTAGCTTTGCGAGTCGAAGATATACATACCCTTGTAGAACAATCGTTCTATAGCAGTACCTATAGGTCGTAAAGTTTAGAAGAAGAAGTATCTTTGGAAAGTTGTAGACAGAAAACTTTTTGGACAGACAGGCCCGTTTAATGATCAAGAAGCAATATCAACCCGCCCTCTGGCTACATGTAACATAAATCTGCATGAATGCTACATTCCCTTTCTCTACAGGATTACCGTGTGTCAAAAAAATACTCAACCTATAAAGAAAGTATGTGCCAAAGAGTACGTCTCCCATGGTGCTCCTCTTGTCTACATGAATTGCTCAAAAAACATACTTAACACTAGGAACACACACACACACACATACATACACATACTGTACATATAGAAACTCTCGCCCATTAATGGTGGGATATGGTGAAGGGTACAGGTGTACAGGGTGACGGGACTTCAATGTTGATGGCATACCAAAAAAGTTTTGTTCTAAGCTTTTGGACAGCACCGGCAGAATCTCAAACATTTTCACCTGCAAGCGAATAGCGGAAGCAAGGAATGGGAGGACGGTGAGGAGTAGGGGGAGGCAAGGTGTTTCACCAACAGAGGCGGAGGATGTATCCATATGTGAGAGAAAGAGAGAGAGAGAGAGAGTATCAAAACATATGAAGGAAGCGCCGCTACAAGCGCACGAGTTCAACTTAGTGTGTACTTAACTTCCGTTACATGGCCGCTCACTCACACTCACAAATACATGCATACACCCTTTCACACGCATGGACACACCACACTCACTCACACACAGATACACTTTCGGCTGCATATGTATATGTTTGTTTGTTTATGCCAAAAGTGTTGTAAAGTGCGGCGCTTTGTCGGCAGGAAGCGCTGAAAATTTATTACCGGACAATTTTGCCAGGGGATAAAAAAGAGCCGACTGCGGGTGGGGGAGGCTATAAGCGCACCAATGGAGGGGGTGAGGGGGGTCAGTGGTATACCCACATACTCAAGTACACACTCACACTCACACACATGCATATGCATAGTTTTCTGGCCGTAAATGTATGCAAACATGCCTAAAAAAAAAAAAAGAATGTGGAACAGTGTTAGTGTCGAGATGGGGCGGATGTTGGGAAGGGCAGAATGGTTCTATATAAGCAGGCGGGGCCATTTTCCATTAAAAATTCAAAATGCCCGACGCCCGGCAATGGCCGAGGAGACGCCTGCCTGCCATTAACACCACACACACCCCCCCACACATCCACGAAAGTGTGTGTGTGTGTGGGTGTGTCTGCCTGTGTGTGTTTTGGGCGTGCTGGTGGGGGGTTCCCACTTCAGAGTCTCTTTTCTCTCTTTTGGCCTTTCAACACCTCATTTTCTCACCTTTCAAAGGTGTTCTGAGTGTTCTCTATGTGCCCTGTCTGTGTGTTCTGTGTGCCATGCCCAAGAATTTGCACCGCCGCGCCGTTAAAACTGAATTGATTTGTTATTCATGTTTTCTGACTTATGGCCAGCACTTTTGGCTCTGCGCCTACCTACCATTCAATTGACGTGGCCCTGGCGCCCGTCTTTATTTCATTTTATTTATGTGTGTGTGTGGATATGTGGGGGTAATGTGTGTGTGTGTTTTTTTTTCTTCTGAAAATAGTGAAAATTTAATGCAGGCAGTGCGCGCTTCGATTCAGGAACGGTTTTGCCGAGGTATCAGAAACAGGGCCCCAAATTTGAAAAGAAAAGTTTTGCCAGTCACGTGCTGAAGAGGCTCACAGCGATGTGTTTGTATTTCATAGGTGGATAATCTGATGACTGATTAATAACTATACATCCGAGGCTTTCTACTGTTGAATAGTTCTGGAGAACCAATTCTCTACCTTTTCCTTTGAGAGCCGCTCCTGATTTTACCTGTAATGGCTATGTGTGGACGGGGGTGTGCAGGTTTTACTCAAGCTGCTTTTATATGTATTAAACTGCCGCAAGGGGAGCATTTAGTGCATGTTTTAAAATAAAATAAAAAAGAAAAAAGAACGGGAGGGGGGATACAAAAAATCGTTGTATACTCTATGCAAGAAGAGAGTTGCTGATCCTTCCCATGAAGAAGATATAATTATATCAAGATTTATTTACCATTCTTCTGCAAGAGAGGGTTATGCCTGCGCTCTTTGAAGGGTATATGAGTTGTATGCAGGGCAAGAGGAGTAGCAGTGGTGCTACGTTCACAAGTGGCCAATGGGGCAGGTAATGGGAACGAAGGCTCGAATGAATTAACATTTTAAATTTATTTTTTCCCCTTTTGGTTGGTGAAAAAAAAAACATTTTAATTAAGCAGCGGTTGGCGATGTGCACAAGTATACAAGTGTATAATTTCCGTTTAAATGCAATAAGAAAAAATCTGTTCAAATTATTGGATTCATTCAGGGACCCGACAAGGATTCTCCTGCGGAGTTGAGTGGTCATTCAGCTAATTCGAAATGTATTCAGATTTCAGGCCATTAACTGCCATTCATAATCAGTTGAAGATTGAACTTTTCAGCGAATTAAAGCCGCATTCTTTCGGCTAAATGTTTCATTTACTTTTGGGATACTTTTACCCAAAACAAAC